TTGTGGGAGTCAGTTGGCTTCTGCCGGGGTGGCTGACCAAAAACGAGCGCCCCAATTTGGATCCCCCAAACATTGGAGGGTCTGCTGGGGGTTGCAGGATTATCACTTGAAGGATAATGAAATGCAGTCAGGGCAGGACACCATTTGACAGCAAGCCTGAATAGGCCAAAAGCTGGAGGAATGATTCACATTTACATCATTCAATGACTCTAAACTGAGCACAGTGGTACCTCGGGTTACATACGCTTCAGGTTACATACACTTCAGGTTACAGACTCCGCTAACCCAGAAATAGTACCTCGGGTTAAGAACTTTGCTTCAGGAAGAGAACAGAAATTGTGCTCCGGCGGCACTGCAGCAGTGAGAGGCCCCATTAGCTAAAGTGGTGCTTCAGGTTAAGAATAATTTCAGGTTAAGAACGGACCTCCGGAACAAATTAAGTACTTAACCCGAGGTACCACTGTATGTGAACTTCTTTTCTTGAAAAGTGTGGTGTTTTAAAAATTATAATATGAAATATCTGTTGCCCAAGATAGCAGAACCTGCACATACTGGTGCCTAGTACATGGAGGCTGGCTACAGTTCCTAGAGACATTGGAAGCTCTTTTATTACAGGTCATATTTAGACTCATAGAACAGTAGAGCTGGAAGGGAACCCAGGCTCATCTAGCTCAGCCCCTTGCAATGCAAGAATTGCAGGTAAATACGAATGCACAAAACTGGTTTTTCAGAATTTTCAGTATCAACCAAATTTTCCATGTCTTTTCATCGTCCATCTAGTTCTACTTATGACCTGATAGTGGCTCTTCAGGATCTCGGCCAATGGCATTCTCCCCCTGGACAAACCTTTTAAAGTTTAAGTATTAACTTTGGGGTCTTCTGCATGGATAGCAAGGGTTCTAGCCCTGAGCTATGGTCCCACTGAACATGCACAACCAGCAACTTCATCCGACCCTCACACACCTGGAATCAGGGCATGGAAAGCACTTCCTTTTCCATTTGCGAAACAACCCACTGCCGCCCACACCCCAGTCCGCAGGCTGCTTTGCTGACAACAGGTCCCATTGCTGTGCATGGCGGGCAGTGTGTGAACTGGCAAAAGAACGCGATAGCCCGCTTTGCTTGCTCCATCGCTCCTTATCAGCGAACCCAAGAGGGTTTTTCTTCTCAATGGTGCTCGTGGTTTTGGCAAAAGGCATTTTCACACAGGGAGTCATCATTTCCTCCCAAGCTGTTTTCATTGCCACTTCATCTCTTTCCTAGCTCAATGGCTGTTTTCTGCACAGAGGCTATTTTGTTTTCCTGGACCAAGGCCATTCAATCGAGTGGGAAGCGCCAAGAGAGGAAGAGATAGAGTGCTAGCACTGTTCCCACATATCTCCAAGGCTGATCTTGACGCAGCTGTGACTGCGAAGGACACCTCTGAAAATAAAGGGCAGCTTATTACCCATCTTCTCCAGCTCCTGCAAGGAACTAAACATCCTGAAGTCAGGAGTAGCTTCTACACAATGGCCCTTTATAGCTCTCTGTGGGCCTTCTTTGCTGCCTCCAGCTGCCTCTACATGCTGTTTTCCCTCAGTTCTTTTCTTCAATATTTTTTCCAGTTGACTTAATTATTACAGTGCATGGACCAGGCTGAGGCGAAACACACTGAGGGTTGGAGTTGGCATCGTAGTAAGTGCTAGAAGAGGGAAGCGCCTTTGCCATGTAATGATATCATCGGGGAGCTGATTGGTCGCCTTCCCCTCGAAGGGAGGCGTTGGCCTGAGGCCTTTGGGATATGCTTTGACTTCCGCGATGCAGAACAGAGACAGGGCCTGTCTCTTGCCAGCCTGCTTTGCTGCCAGTGCCCTGGCAATGCCTGAGAGACGTTTAGAAAAACAGCACAGTACTTTTTTTTTTTTTTTGGTCCATGCTGGGTGGGGAGGTGAAGGGGGGAAGAGTGGGGAGGGGGCAGCGTGGAACACAAAGTCGCTACACAGCCCCAGCTTGGACCCTAAGTGGGGAAAACAAGCCAGGAAAGAAAGCACCAAACTGCACAGTTTTAACTTGACAAGTTAATAAACAAGTTGGATTCTCATCCCTAGAAGGAACCGTCGGAAACCAAGAGGGCCTCCTCGCTGGTCTCTGGGGGCAGAAGGCTGAACGCAGACCAGGCCGCAAAGGAAATTTCGCTTAGTGGTGTGCAAATACTGACTGTGGTGCCGGTTGTTTGTGGAACCGCCACAGATGGCACTGCGATTAGCTCTCTCTTTGCCAGGCTCATTTGGCAGGGCGAGGGTGGGTGGGGAGGGGTGGTGGTGTGGCATGGCAGTTACACGGCAGATGTCCCAGTTTACCTTTTTATTATTATTTTATGACAATGTTTATAGAACAGCCTTCATTGTAAGTTAGGGAGGCAGTTCATAGAACCACAGAACTGTAGGGTTGGAAGGGATCATGAGGGTCATCTAGTCCAACCCCCTGCAATGCAGAACTTTGTTGTTGTTGTTGTTTAGTCGTTTAGTCGTGTCTGACTCTTCGTGACCCCATGGACCAGAGCACGCCAGGCACTCCTGTCTTCCACTGCCTCCCGCAGTTTGGTCAAACTCATGCTGGTAGCTTCAAGAACACTGCCCAACCATCTCGTCCTCTGTCGTCCCCTTCTCCTTGTGCCCTCCATCTTTCCCAACATCAGGGTCTTTTCCAGGGAGTCTTTGCTTCTCATGAGGTGGCCAAAGTATTGGAGCCTCAGGATCTGTCCCTCCAGTGAGCACTCTGGGCTGATTTCCTTCAGAATGGAGAGGTTTGATCTTCTTGCAGTCCATGGGATTCTCAAGCGTCTCCTCCAGCACCAGAATTCAAAAGCATGCAGAACTTGGTCACAACTAAAAAATCGCTGACAGATAGCAATCAGACCTCTGTATAAAACCTCCATCTTCTGAGGTGCTCTCATTTTGTATTTTTATGCTGTAAACCACCCTGTGATCTTCGGATGAAGGGCAGTATACAAAACAAGCAAGCAAACAAGCAAACAGTCATATATTCCACTTTCAAACAGATCTTGCCACCAGAAAGTTCCTCCTAATGTTTAGTTGGAATCTCCTGACTTGCAATTTGACTCCATGATTTGGATCCTACCCTTTAAGGCCCAGAAAACAAGCTTGCTCCATCAATCAACAACCCTTCAGATATCTGAAGATGTTTACAATACGAAACCAATGCAAAAAAGCATGGGAGCAGGTTGGAGCTCATATTCAAAAGGCCTGCATGCATGAAAGCAGGTAACAAGAGTGGTGGAGCCAAGGAACCAGGAAAACTTGCACAGCCAGAAAGGAAAGCAATAGCAGGCAAAGGGAGAGTGAGGAACGGAGTCTGAGAGTCACACATAGATCTGTTGCACAAAGGAAAATACTGTATCTTAACAAAAGAGAAAGTTTATATGGGGCAACAAAGGACAGGGATGAATCACAGCAGGGATTCAACTTGTGGCTTGCCAAGTACAGTGGTACCTCAGGTTAAGTACTTAATTTGTTCTGGAGGTCCGTTCTTAACCTGAAACTGTTCTTAACCTGAAGCACCACTTTAGCTAATGGGGCCTCCTGCTGCCACCGCAGCACGATTTCTGTTCTCATCCTGAAGCAAAGTTCTTAACCCGAGGTACTATTTCTGGGTTAGCAGAGTCTGTAACCTAAAGCGTATGTAACCCGAGGCACCACTGTATAATGAAGCCCACTAGCCTTGTATGGTGGACCTTTGTTGTTGCCTGTCTGAAACTGCAAAAGCAGTCTAGCACATGGTGAGCCACCCTAAGATACTGAAGGACTGCATGCCACAAGGTGTTGGGGCTTGACTGTGATCAGTGCAGTGCTGCCATTATGTGAGCAAAAGGTGCTTCTTTCAGACCATTTCTGTCAGACTGAGGTCCCTCGATTCTCCCCACCATATATCTGAGCTCTCATTTGTGTTGGTGGTCTGGGCCAACTAACCCCCTCGAGCTGTTGGCAAGATACTGGTATTTGCACACGAGTATTTTACTTACTGCAAGGAGCTCTCTTCTTTCCTCCTCAGTGTAGTAATAGGCACCAGTCTTGCATATGGCATGATGGAACTGTGTTGAGACTACCAGGCTCTTTCAAGGGGCTTGGCACTTGAACCATGCAAAGGCTCCTTTGCTATTTCTAGAGAGCAAGGACTCACACCAGCTTTCTGCAGAACGCATTCCAAATGGGAGCAGAGGCAGCTTGAGTTAGGTGGATTTAAAATAAAATAAAATTGTTCAAAATATAAACAGATTGCACTTTTAAGCACTCTCGAAGGAGGAAACAGAGTGCAACATATGTTCCTACCATACAAGTTATTTAGTTACCTTTTAGGGGAAAGTGGGGGGGGGGAGGGAAGGAGGGAGAGGGGGAAAGAAAAGCTTTAATGGACTCATTATTGGCTTCCCTTGGCAGAGCTGTTAATTAATTAAATAACGACATGTGAATGGCATCCACTGGAGAGGTGCATTAGAGCTTCCAGATGAGCAATGCCGGCTCATTTGAGACCTAAAATAGTTGCAGTTCAGTCACCACTTAACTCAGAGATGAATTGGCATGGTGTTTCCACCTGGGAAAAGAGTAACGCTCCTCTAGTTTGCACCAAATATGCACTAGTATCCGCACCCCCTCCAGGTCAAAAATGCAGTGGAGATTAACTCGTTCTTTTAGCAGCAGAAGTCTCAGCTATAAAATATTTAAGCAAACTCCCCTCAGTGGAAGAGGAAGAGAAAGAGACACAAAGAGACCCTTAAATATAGGCTGTGAAAATATTTTTGGGGGCTGACACAGACAGAGCAGCCTAAGCCACAAACCTGTTCAGCTGGCATACTATGAAGAATCCCTGCCATGGTAATGCCTCTTTCAGTCCAAGAGCTCCAGTATAACAGGCTTGCTAATTGCCATTTTAATGAATATAACCAAATTTCTGGTTTCTTCTTCTTCATTTGAAAAATAAATCATGTTTACAATTCCCAAACACACAGTGAAAATAATTTATAGGGTAGACAATAAAAAGATAACATTTTTTTTTTGCTAGGGCTCGGGAGCCATGTATGCAAATACTTTCCCAAGGCCAAAACCAATGATGGAAGGTGCTTGGTCCAAAAAAACAAACTAGTAAAACAGGATGATACGGTCTTTCAGCATGGCTCTCTGGACCACTAGCAAAAGGGAAATTTAAAGGGACCAGAGATTCGTAAAAATCTGACAGGCATTTTAATTTTCCAGAACTCTTTAGCAGGCAAGGGGCTCCCCATCTCTAAGAAACTGGAGACTGGCTTATAGCCCTGACCTGTCCTGGCCCTTAAATGAAACACACAGGTTTCTGGGGTAAACAGACAGCAGAAACAAGGAAAAACATGGCGGTCTTTGATTTAGCAAAGCTGGGGATTAATTTTGATGTTCTAGGGAAGAAAACTCAATCTTCTTTATCTTCCAGTATTTTTGCCAAAAGGGTCAAGCATACACACGGGTGGCTGGACTCATCTAAGCACCTTGACCACTTCCTGTTTGTGGACTTCCTGCAGGCATCTGAGGAACAGGGTGCTGGACAGGATAGGTCTTTGGTCTGATCTAGGAGAACACTCCATATAACGAACTTTCAACTCATGAGTCAAGTAAGATTTAATCTTAAAATAAATGAAAGAGTGCCTTTCATTCAAGCTTCTGACAGTCTCTTCATAAATCATCTTACAACAGTACCAAGGTAGTAATACTTTATGATCATTAATTTAAGTAGTTAATTGAGAAAATCCAGGGTTTAATAGCTCCTTAACTTTATCCCTGAGTATGGAATCAAGAATCATTATTAAAAGAAAATCTAGTGGATGGCTTTTCTTTTTAGTCCATAATAGAAATTTCATAGGGAAATCTATGAATTCCTGTTCAAAATCACTCCACAGCACCTTCCTGTTCAGCCAGAGTTATCAAGAGGGGACCTCAACCACTCCATCCATAATGTGTAGATTACAGAACCGACCTATCAAGGGTTGCAGTATATTAACGTACACGATACACACTGAGCAGTCAAAAATATTCATTTCCACCATCAATTAATGGAAGGTCATCTGAACTACTGCCCATGTTTGTTGAGAACCTTCCTCTTTTTGGAACCGTTGTATGTACTGGATTTGTAAATAATGCAGAAGACAGTTTATTTCGCAAAGGATTTGAAGCTTTCCAAAGCCAATACAATTAGCATTTGCTTTACTGATTCAATATGGTTTTCTTCTTGCCAGAGCTGCGGGTCATTTCTCATTAGATGAAACTGGTCTGCCAGAATTTTGATGAGTTGCATGCTGCATCCCAAACACAAATGTTCTACTTGGATCTTATGCAGGACAGTGACTTTATTTGTTCTACCATTGCATGCATAGTTTTTCAGTACTCCTTAGAACTGCAACTCAAGTTACAGGCCAAAAGGAAGCAACCCAATTTAACCCCAATACTATCCCATCTGAAAGGGTAAATATGGATAAAAGCAGTAGGTGAGTGGGGTGGGACCTTAGTGTGCATCCGCTGATAGCTGTTTTACCTCCACCGTTGGCAGCAGTATGCCTCTAAACGCCAGTTGCTGAGAATCACAGGTGGCCAGAGCGCTGTTGTGCTTCTGTTGAGCTTGCCATGGGCATCTGGTTGGCTGCTGTGAGAACAGAATGCTGGACTAGATGGCCCACTGGCCTGATCCAGCAAGCTTGTCTTATGTTCTTCCTATTAAGTTCAAATGTGTGCAGTGCCGAGTGTCAGCTAATGCACTTATATAACAAAGAATCAAGCTCAACCGTGCAGTGCTCAGCTTCAAAACAGCTTCCATTTCTACAGGATGAGCACCAAAAGCAGCTAATAACACACTATGGATAAATGATCTTTTTTGGAATGGCAGGTCTCTTTTTAAAGGCTTCAATACTGCATGACACAAAGTCTGACAATCCTGAACCTTTATTATTTACATTTTAGAAAATATTGGCATAAAAAATTAAACCCTTTTTAATAAAAAATTGGCACAAGCTTTTAAAAGACTAACTTGACTGTAATGTCAAATTGTAGTCTACTTTTTAAAAAACAGTCCACTGTCAAAACTGGATCCCACATTCTGTAATGCTAAATGGGCGTTTTACAACACTGTTATTTCTTACATGGCAAGTGGTAATTGAAAATCCTTTTGCGCTGCCTGAATGGCACTGTTTGGAGAAAAAGATTCGATGAGTTATCAGCCGTTGCCACGACTGACAGAGGTAAGGCCGGTAGTCCATATCTGCTTCACTGTGGTGTTTTCCTGAACTTTCAGATGTGTTCAGTGATTTCTGCATGATTGTTTGAGTTGTTGCAAACAAAACTAAGTGGTGCTCTCTTACAAGCTTCCCCAGGAACTGCGCACATCTCTTTAGGTTTGCTTCCTGCTGGCTAAGGTTCTCCCCTCCATTGACTCTGTCAATCCAATAAAAGGCTGATATACTGTCAATAATCAAGAGGCACAAGGAAGGGTGAGAGCAAAACATGTTTTCCAAAGAGAAAAGAGTAAGAAGCAGCTGAGGGCTGCTGCTGCAATTAACAAGGAAAAACCTCCCCAGACACTGCTTTATCATCTCTTCTGTGCCTTGGGGCAATCTGTGCTCCAGAATAGTCACTAAACGCAACAGGTCAAAATGGAAGTCTGTATCAATAAAAAGCACACCAACATCCATGCCACCACCAGATTTTGGAAGAATGCAGCGGGCAATAAGATGATAGAGCATTTCTGTTTTTCCTGTTCCTTCTGGACCATGGAATTCAACAATATCTCCTGTTTAATAATGAAGAAGCAAATGTTTAAGCTAGGAAGGCATTTGCTATTCAAGACACCTTTCAAATGGCTCAGCTTTCAGCTGTAACACACACACACCTCTACCTGAAATCATGTGCAACTTTTCAGTACAATCAAATTCCCAATCCTATGCAGGTCTATTTAGAAGCAAGCCCCACTGGATTTGATTATTTTATTTTAATACAACAAACCAATACAGCTACACTTCTGAGAAGCAAGTGAATATATTTTCTTTTCTTGACGTGTGTAACACACACTCATGCCGACCAATTTGTTCTCAGGCAGCAAGAGGAAAAAAACTTTCCCTTCCAAAGCTAAGATAAAAAGAAAATGGGGAGCATAAATTTTAATTTGTTTGTTTGTTTACCATTTATCTTCCAATATGCCAGACAATTATTACTGTAAATATTTTAAAGGATGTGTATTTATTTACCATGAATAGGATAACCTTCATCAGCAAACAGACAAGGTTCCAGCGTCTTCAGAGAACTTCTGCCCTCAAGTCGTGCAAGCAGCTTTGAAACAAAGAGAAAGTCAACTTTACTGAAATTAATGAGTCAACAAGCTAAATGTATTGATTGTGCACAAAACTTAGTGTGAGTTCAATGGCTTCCCAGCAGCTGGTTTTAACTGCACTGCTGCATGTGCAATTAAAAGTATATCTCAATTACTTTTAAATTTCTAGACATGGCACCACCTATAGAATCCAAATAAAAACCTGTGGGCAGAAAAGCATACATAAACTGAATACACTGTATCCTCAGTGAAGTCAGTTCAATAAAACTTGCTATTTTGGTTGATTTCTATGTATTTTCACCAAAATTATTTAAAGCAGCTTATAAAAGAAACTCTGTTACAATCTGAAATCCAGCAATAAAGTCTTAATGCTCCAAAAGCAACATTCTATTATATTGTATTAGCATATAATGGATCAGTTATAAGTGTTAGAGTAAGAGAGATATTAAACCAGACATAAAATAAACACAGAATTGCAAATTCCTCCTAAATATGACCACGGTGATTTTTAAAAGTTTGCAGGCTAGTGCTGAGGTAGGACTCTTGGGTTGCAACAGTGAGTGCCATAGTGTTGAGGTCACTAAGAAAGCCCTGCTGCATCTCCCCACTGATCTTAGCTTCCTGATTAAAGATGGCTATTGCCAGGATCCTCTTGATTACGGAAGATGGAAAGCCTCATATAGGGAGTGGGGCTGTCAAATGAAGATTGGGCCCAGCCAGGCTACATAGCACCTTGAATTGAATCTGAAATTCAACAGAGCACAGACCAGCATGTACACACAGGGCCTGCTATCTGCCTGCTCATTATGCAAAAAATCAGTTATCCAAATGAAAAGAATGATGTCCAAACCTTGCTATACATGCTACAGATTCAGATATCCAAGTTTGCCCACTTCCTTGTTTGTGGTTTGCTGGTTAGCAGTAGTCATTTTAGGGCAGAAACCATGCATGTAGGGAGCGGGGAGAGAGCTTGGAGAAATCAGGGAGCAGGAGAGATAGTACAAATTTCATATTAGAATTACTCCCATAGGAATCCATGGAAATGTGGACTCATTATACAAATGCTTGTTTAACAAATGATTTTCAGGGAATGCATTTTGTTCAGTATGCAGCATGTATGTGGCTCCCCCCCAACTCCTATCAAGAAAGTGGTTGCCACATTCTGCACCAGCTGTTAGCTTCCAGGCATTTTGACAGCAAACGTCCTGCATAAAAGGCATTATTACACATTGGACATTCAGTATAACAAAGGCATGCATGGTGGTTGCTAGATATTAAACAAAGCTGGCCAAACAGTGGTTCAATCCACTGCCACCAACACATTTTCTCAAAAGAGTATCAGACAATGCTCCTAAGCACTGAACAGGATTCATCAAGGATGAAGATGCAGATAAATACTGGACAACTTTCTTTCCTAAACACCCAGGATCCCTAAACAATCCCATTCCATCCTGCCTAGAGTGAGTTGCTGCTTGTTTGTCTTTTTCCATCTGGACCACCTGGGGGAAAAATATATTTGAGGGTCCTCAGTGTGCCAATACCTCCAGATGATCTCTCTGTAACTTCAGACAGATAAACTTAACAGCAAAGTAGAGGAACTGTTAACCTGATGACTTCCATAAAACATCTTCCTCCATTACTACTCCCCAACAAAAAAGATTGTGGTCTCACCTTATCTGGTTGTTGGCTGTGCCTAAATTTGAGTGATATAGAAAGACTAAGAGAATTGTACTGTCCAGTCCTTTTCGGTCAAGGGAAATGATAATCCAACTGGGGCAACTAAAGCAGCTTTGGTTCCAAATGCAGGCTAGATCGAAACACATGCATGTAGGCAGTCAAGAAAAGGTCAAACTATCTTTCTTCTTTATTTGCCCATTTGTCTTATGCTGAAGCTTTCTAGATACAAACAGGCCATTTATTTTGGTCTGCAAGCTTCATGACATTTACCAAGAAATTCATGGACAGCACAGCCAGGGAGCCTAATGCAATATGGATTTTTGTGTTAGATGGACAAGTCTCTCAATTTAATGGTGTGTTTTGTATCAATACCACAAATGTCCTGGGGTACGAGGAGAAAGACACACACAAAACATAGTCACCATGACTAGGCACTATATACAGGGGAATATTCTGCCCTAATTGTCTTGCATCCAAGGTGATTTCACTCTTTAATTTGCATTAATTTTGATAGTCAATCTGCAATTTTATTATATAAGTTCTGCTCCTCATGCCATCTTCTGCACAAGAAGGTGGGTATTGAAGACCTTTAAAGCAGTAATATTGCAAATATTTATGACATATTCCAGTGTATCTCCCACACACAGAGAGAATCTAGGATTAACAAAACGAATATAGAATACTTAACCAAAGTTAAAATGCACAAGCAAATATACTTCATATGAGACACAAAGACAAGTGTGGAAGTGGAAACATCACATACCGGAACGTTACACAAGAACTGCAAAAACGACACTTTGATTTTGGAGGATGATGTGTAGGGGCCAGTGTTTGAATATGACAAACCTCCTGATAAATGCATTCAACCTAAGCTGTATCTGTTTGTGTCTTAGCCAGCACAAAGGTAGAGAATGACATTTTATTTAGTGTATTAGTTGTCTTTTTTTAATTCAAGACTTCATTTTTGTAATATATCAAAACGCCTTTGAGGTGGGGCTGGATTAATTTCCCCGAAATTGTGACCGATACTTTGCTGGTTTTATGATGTGTTAGTACTTTTAATTACAATTATGATTTTAACAGGAATTAATTTATTTTTTTTAAAAACAGCACACTCGTATGGTCTGTGTAAGAGACTAGAGCAACTCATTCTTCTTTTTATCTGTATTCTATATATTTGGAGATGTACAGTATGTGTGAGGGGGTCCTCACAGTGTCTAAGAGATTTAAGGGACAAAGGTTACAGTCACTTCATTATTATTCATTATTATTTATTTTATTTATCCAAAGATCCCAGGACAGTGTATTGCACAACATGAAAAACATAATACAGAGCATAATAATAAAATAATCATGATAACAGTCCCCTCCAAAATATTTAAGAAGCTATAGATTATTTAATGGCCAAAGGCCTGGGTAAAGAGGAATGTTTTTGCCTGGCGCCTAAAGGAATCTAATGATGGCACCATGCAAGCCTCTCTGGGGAGAGCAGTCCACAGATGGGAAGTCACCATAGAAAAGGCCCATTCTCGTGTTGTCACCCTTTGAAGCTTTCAGGGGGAGGGCAGAGAGAAGGGCTTTGGATGACAAGCACCGGGTCTGACTTGGTTCATATGGGGACAGGCAGTCCTTAAGGTCCTCAGGTCCTAAGCACTTTGAATTGAGCCTGAAAACTACCGTAATTGGCAGCCAGTGCAGCTGGCCCAGGACTGGGGTTATATGCTCAAACCATCTTGTTCTGGTGAGCAACCTGGCCATCAAATTTTGCACCAACTGAAGTTTCTGAAAGGTCTACAGAGGCAGCCCCATGTATAACGTATTGCAGTAATCCAACCTAGAGGTTACCAGAGCATGGGCCACGCCTGGGCCACAAAGGTTAGGCTATCCCTGACCAGATAGGGGTGTAGCTAGGCCACCAGCTGAAGCTGATAGAAGGCCCTCTGTGCCACCAAGGTCACAAGCAACAGTAATGGATCCAGGAGACCTGTAAACTACATACCTATATGGAAACCATTACATCTGAGTTCACAGCCAATACATTCTGCACAGACTATCTGAAGGAGGGGCTTTAGTTAGTGACAGCGCAGACACTTGGCATGTTGAAGGTCCCTGGTTCAGTCTCTGGAATCTCCAATGAAAAGGATCTGGGAGCAGGTAATGTGAAGGAGGCCCTGGGGAGCCACCACCAGTCAGAGTAGGTAATACTTACCGGTAGCTTGTCTGATCTAGTGCAAGGCAGCTTCCTATGCAACTCCATGGCTGCTGTTCTACCTCCTTCCCCTTTGCTAGCCACTCTCAAGAAGTATCCTACTCACTGTTTGTTACAGGCTAAAGACGATTATATTATAATAAAGGTTCACATATTTTTCTCATATAACAGCAGGTGCTTATCTGGAGAACAGCATATGCAAATTATTATGATAATTTAAGTACTAATGCACCTGTGCTTCTGATGTATGTTTACTTTCTAGGTTTTAAAGCAAAACAACTGCAGCCATTTAGCATCATGCTGTGTACGATGGGCAACATCCCAGGGGAGTCAGCTAACAGTTTTACAGAAAGAAAAACCCAACAAAAGCCAGCCTCTGTGCTAACCGTCTTAAGCCAAACTGTTAGGATATTAAATATTAATCCCTACAATGGACTATTAAATACTGTATTTTTTATCCATTCCAAAGAGAGCTTGAAATTTTTACGAACCTAACAAATTCCACTGCAAGAACACCCCCAGCTTTTATTTACTCCCACTGTTGCTGAAAGGACTTCACAGCATTCTCTCTCCCTCCATCATTATATTTTCACAACAGCCCTGTGAGGTAGGCTAGGCTAAGATAGCAACTGGACTAAAGTAAGGCTTTTGTAGTCCAACACGCCTAACCTCTACAGCACACTAGAGACATGGACAAATGGTCAAAATGGAACTCAGATGTAATGGAAATGAAGTACTCTTCTTAATCATCATTTGATGGTTATATAAACTTTTGGAAAATGGAGACTGCCAATTTCTGTACCCCCAGGAGCCACTCTGTACTGAAGACAGCAGTTCCCAAGGCTCAGAGTGGGGTTGGTTTTACTGTATTCTGAAGCTGGCATCTATCAGTAAGACTTGGCTCCATCTTGGACTGAGCGAGGTCAGAGGTCCTTGCTGGGAACTGTTGTCTAGGAACTGCCAATGGCCAAAGGAGTACTTGGCTTCATCGTGGACAGTGAAGTCTAGCGGCTCAACCCACTCGCCTTAGAGTTCCTTAGTGGGAAGTCCAAGAATGAGGGCAAAAAAGTCTGAATAAGCCTGGCACCATGTTATTTCTTATATGTGCTAATCTTTTTGGATGCAGTTGTACTGTACAAACTTTTTCTCCGCCACTCTGAGAACCTCTTTCAAGTAGGATATTGTTGTTGTTGTTTTGTTGTTTAGTCGTTTAGTCGTGTCCGACTCTTCGTGACCCCATGGACCAGAGCACGCCAGGCACCTCTGTCCTCCACTACCTCCTGCAGTTTGGTCAAACTCATGCTGGTAACCTCGAAAACAGTATCCAACCATCTCGTCCTCTGTCGCCCCCTTCTCCTTGTGTCTTCTCCAGGGAGTCTTCTCTTCTCATGAGGTGGCCAAAGTATTGGAGCCTCAGCTTCAGGATCTGTCCTTCCAGTGAGCACTCAGGGCTGATTTCCTTAAGAATGGATGCGTTTGATCTTCTTGCAGTCCATGGGACTCTCAAGAGTCTTCTCCAGCACCATAATTCAAAAGCATCAATTCTTCGGCGATCAGCCTTCTTTATGGTCCAGCTCTCACTTCCATACATCACTACTGGGAAAACCATGGCTTTAACTATACGGACCTTTGTTGGCAAGGTGACGTCTCTACTTCTCAAGATGCTGTCTAGGCCTGTCATTGCCCTTCTCCCAAGAAGCAGGCGTCTTTTAATTTCGTGGCTGCTGTCACCATCTGCAGTGATCAAGTAGGATATGGAATACCCTAAATAAATTAGTAACAGCTTCACATTTATGGAGCAAATGCACTTCAGACATACATTAAATCTACAAACAATAGAATTGTAGAGTTCTATATGTAAAAAAGAAGAGGAGTCAAATCTCTTTATCATTTGTAAACACAGGGAACTGCCTCACACTAGATCAGACTACTGGTCGGTCTAGCTCTGTACTGCCTACGATGACTGGCAGCAGCTATCCAGGACTGCAGACAGTCCTGCCTGGAGATGCCAAGGATTGAATCTGCATACAAAGCAAATGTTCTACCACTGAGTCATGGCTCCTCCCCAAGTTTTGGTACAGCCTCCAGGGACCAGAGCTCACATCTGCCATCCTGAAACCAGGGTGTGTGTCAAGTTAGGTTTGCATTGTGCTGTCACTGACTCAATAGCATCTTCTAAACCTGGCCCTGCCATCTTCCTCCCCACCCCTTGGAAGCGATTGTAGAAGATAAATGACTGGCAGAAATTTGCCCATTACGGCATTGACAGGGCAAATAATTCACATTTTCCATATTCACCTGTCATTACGATGCTTTCCCCTGACTACTTAATTCGGCGGGTGGAGCTTTTCCTGGCCTCAAAATCTGTTTGTCATGCTGCTATGACATAAGACACAAAGATAGGAAAAAATGTGGCAATACTATATCCAGGACCTTCTTTTCTGGAACCACTTCCCAGAGAAGTCCACCAGGCCAGCTTGCTGCTGATTGTGAGGTTGGTTGGAGACAGTCTGTAGCAGATTCTGGCTGTGTTTGGATGGCTGTCAATCACCTTAATAAGCCAAGATATGAACTCCAGGGCCCGCAAGGCAGGTGTTCTGCTCCTCCCTGCTGCAAGCTGCAGACAGGGAAACAGGTCTTCAGTTAACTATGGTTTTCCATTATCCTCATTAATGATGTCCAAGCAAGAACACTAAACTAGGGCTTTATATCCAGGGTTGTTTGGAAGCCGTTAACCAGAGCTTTCCTTTTCAGACATACAGTGGTACCTCAGGTTAAGTACTTAATTCATTCCGGAGGTCCGTTCTTAACCTGAAACTGTTCTTAACCTGAAGCACTACTTTAGCTAATGGGGCCTCCTGCTGCCACCGTGCCACCGGAGCACAATTTCTGTTCTCATCCTGAAGCAAAGTTCTTAACCCGAGGTATTATTTCTGGGTTAGCGGAGTCTGTAACCTGAATCGTATGTAACCTGAAGCGTATGTAACCCGAGGTACCACACTTAACTGAAGTCTTGCTTCCTGGCTCATGCAGGCGAGGAGATAAGTGTGGCCACGAGAAACAGGCCCACATCTCAGTTTATGAAGCATAGACATGGCAGTCCAAAGGCAGCTGCTGGGTGAACATGTACGAACTTTTGTTTGTTGCTTTATCCTCAGTTTATTTAAAGTCTTTTTATACCACCTTTTGGTTTTAGAAAGGAAGGCGTTACTGAAATGCAGGTGGAAAAACAAGTAAGAAACAAACACCGTGTGAGGGGCCAGAGTCTCATATAAGCCGCCTTGTGAGAGCTGAAAGATGGGTTAGAAAATTTCCAAGTGTCAAGGCCTATTCCAGCTGCACACCTCCACAAGGTAACCCCCCATCAACCATCCTGTGGAGAAGGTTCCTGAAGGTTTTAAAAATATATCGTTGGCTGCCTTTTTCTGTTTTCTTTTCTATTTTTCACCTTCAGAGACTGTGTACCACTGTGTGTATGTGTGCGTGTGGCTGGGAAGAGGCAGAAGCCCAGCTTGAGGACTTCCCGACACCGCCTGTAGCTGACCCCTGCTGGAAACAGGATGCTGGGTTGTGTCAGTCTTCCCACCCGCTACAGGCAATGGGAGAGACCCTTCCCCCGCTCCCCTCAGCGCGAGAGAGTGGCCGGGGGAGGGGGCGTGCGCGTGCGTCATTCTCTGCCTCACCTGGGCGCCCGACTCCGCCTTCCCGAGCCCGTCAGTCATCGCTCGCGGAGGGAAACCCGCAGCAACGGCAGCTCATAACCGTAAAAGGAGGGAGGCGCCAACGGCCTCACACTTCGGCGCGCAGGCGCCGCCTGAACTGCCGCGCATGCGCTCTTCTCGGATCTGGAGGTGGGGGGGCGAAAAGGAAGGAAACTTCATTACGGGGCGTCCAGGCCTCCTTCGCGGATGCTCTGCCTCGCGCATGCGTAGTTCGGGCGCGTCTCTGACTGACAGCTTATTATTCCGACGCTTTCCAGTTTGGAGCATCTCCCGCTGAGTCTATGGAAGCGCTCCTGAGTGGAGGCTTCTTTCTTTCTTTCTTTCTTTTTGCAATGCGACCGAAGGGTTTCGATTTCATGTTTTACATTTCCAGCGGGGGTCTTGCTTGGTGCTCAACCTCCTGCTCTGCAGGGCGGGCACGCTGGTTGCTCGTGCCCAGCAGTTCCGGCGCGCTTACTCACGAGTAACCTGAATTCAGTAGCCTGACAGTGAAATCCTTGGCGTGTTTGCTCGGAAATCACTCTATGTTCGGTGGGGCTTGCTCATACGAACAAGTCTTAACCTCCACTTATTTACCCGGGAGTAAGATCCACCACAGAGCCTAGGACTTGCCGATCAGAAGGTCAGCGGTTCGAATCCCCGCCATTGCTCAGTCCCTGCTCCTGCCAACCTAGCAGTTCGAAAGCACGTCAAAGTGCAAGTAGATAAATAGGTATCACTCTGGCAGGAAGGTAAACGGCGTTTCCGTGCGCTGTTCTGGTTCACCAGAAGCAGCTTAGTCATGCTGGCCACATGACCCGGAAGCTGTATGCCAGCTCCCTTGGCCAATAAAGCGAGATGAGCGCCACAACCCCAGAGACGGTCACGACTGGACCTAATGGTCAGGGGTCCCTTTACCTTTAAGATCCACTGGATTCAGTAGGATTTACTGTAATTTGGATTAGACATTAGGATTTTGGCCAAAAACAATTTTAAGCAAATTTACGTGAGCTGTAAAACCCGTTGAACATAATGGGATAAGTGAGTAAATACGTGTAAGATTTCAATTTTAGGTACATACAGTAAGCCCACAACTTAAGGACATTTAATTTTTGTGCATTCCATTTTAGGGGTGTGGCAAAAAAAGGGGGGGCCGCTGCCACCGGAAAAATGACTTATGGCAATCTCACTCACCATTGAACCCAATGGGTTGAGCCTTGGCTTTAGGCGTGATCCCCAGAACATAATCCCCATGTAAATTGTGGGCATACTATATTCAAATGATTAGAATTAAAACTTGTTACAAGGTGAGCCTTAGTGTGAACAAGTAAAACCCCTGAAATGTTGAATAGCAGCAAGGCAAGAGCCTGACCAGAACTTGGGGGGGGGGGGAGGATCAATCATATTTCGTATTTCTCTTGCCGCTTATAAAGACACACTTTCCTTTTAATTGCATTCATGGTGCATTCCATGGCAGGATCCTTAAGCACTTTGCAAATAAGAGCAAATTAATCCTCTTAATATCCCAAGAGAGAGCATACATTAAATTACTAAGGTAATTGAACAAAGATACAATTACCTTTGTCTAGCAGAGGAACTGCAAGAACCAATGCAATCATTCCATGGACTATTGTACAGGGAAGGAGATATTTCCAATTTCTCTCTGTGTGTGACTGTGCAATTTCCCCTGAAATAAACAGCACCTGTTCAATCAGATTTCCAGCTGCAACTTTTAACATGGGGCATTAGGCATATATAAGATTTTATTGTTGAGAGGGAGTCCTGGGTATGATTAATAGGATTTCCTGTTTTACTGAGCCTGCTCCTATGCCTTTGATAGAAGAAAAATTGAGCAGGAGTAGCCATTCCTGGGACAGTGATGAGAATAGCTTTACCTCAGGTTCTGCATCTTCAGCCCCACCCCTCAATTAGCAAAGTATCATAAATAAAGCAGACAGAATCCAGAGAGGAAAGAAAATCCTGAAAACACTCTGCTGAAACTGAATGAAAACTAATTTGAGGAGAAAGTTTTTTTGTCATTCTTACTTAAGGCCTTGTACGTATCAGGGAGCCATTCAACCAAACATACAGAGAAGAAGGTTCCTTCAGAACTACACAGCCAGTCAGAGTGCATGTTAGCTTCATGAACATCATGCCACTCTGCCTAGTTGCTAAGTAACATCTCCATTCCCCACCATGGTTAAATGACCCTTAACACTAACAGAGGTAACCCATATGGAATGATGATCCCTGCTGTTACTTAGATGGGAGGCGCTCAAAGCAGACAGATTTGACTAGCAGTTAGAATTATCTGTATCATCCATATCCGCTGCTAGGTGGTTGGTACCTGGAGATGCAGGGGATATAAACTTTGGACTTTCTGCATGCAAGGCAAATGCTCTACCACTGAGCTACAGCTCTTCTCTAAAGAAGGAGAGAGCAAGGTGCATGGGGATGGTGGGGTAGAAATCTAGAAACACAGGAAACTATTGTACTGGGTCTGCCTAGCTCAGTATTTTTCAAACTCCCTGGCAGGGGCTGTCCATGGTGTCCTAGACGAGTTCTAGCCCTACCGGAGAAGCCGGAGATTGAATATGGCAGCCTCCATGTGTGACAACATGTTCTCTAGCATTGAGCTAGAGCAGGGGTAGGCAAACTAAGGCCCAGGGGCCAGATCCGGCCCAAATGCCTTCTCAATCTGGGCCACGGACGGTCTGGGAATCAGCATGTTTTTACATGAGAATGTGTCCTTTTATTTAAAATGTATCTCTGGATTATTTGTGGGGCATAGGAATTTGTTCGTTTATTTCCCCCCCAAAAATATAGTCCAGCCCACCTCATGGTCTGAGGGATGGTGGACTGGCCCCTTCCTGAAAAAGGTTGCTGACCCCTGAGCTAGAGCTCTTTCTCAGCTGTGAATAATACAGAACCTGGCATGCAGCTGAATCTGTAAAATCACAAATATCCATTCTTTAAAGAAGAAGTTTCTAGTCATCATTACTAAATGGAAAATTTGGAAAGGAAAGGGCAGAAGTGTATATTTAATCTAATTTAGGCAAGTTCTCTCCATGTAATGTGAAGTGTTTGTATAAATTGGGATTTCCCCTCCATTCTGTGCAGTACTGCAGCTCCTCTGGAACCAACTTTGTTTTAAGATGGGATAGAAAGGAGATGTATGTTATAAAGCAGTAGGTAGAGTACATGCATTGCATGCAGAAATGTTCCAGGCTCAAACTTTCCCCATGCCCCAGAGTGCACCTCCAGTAAAAGGATTTCAAGCATCAGAAAAGACTAGATCGGGGGTCGGCAACCTGCGGCTCCAGAGCCGCATGCGGCTCTTTAAAGCCTTTGCTGCGGCTCCGGGGCGGTGGCGAGGGGAGGAGGCGAGGGGCGGAGGCGAGGGGCGGAGGTGACCAGCCTGCCGCCCGGCGGGCGGGGCGCCGTAAAGCAGAGCGCCCCCCTCGCCAGGCAGACATCCGCAGCGTGGGGAGCCTTGCCGGACTTCCCGGCAAGGCTCCCGACGCTGCGGATAGCAGCCTGCCGCCCGGTGGGCGGGGCGCCCTAAAGCAGAGCGCCCCCCTCGCCAGGCAGACATCCGCAGCGTGGGGAGCCTTGCCGGAGGTCCCGGCAAGGCTCCCCACGCTGCGGATAGCAGCCTGCCGCCCGGCGGGCGGGGCGCCGTAAAGAAGAGTGCCCCCCTCGCCAGGCAGACATCCGCAGCGTGGGGAGCCTTGCCGGAGGTCCCGGCAAGGCTCCCCACGCTACGGATAGCAGCCTGCCGCCCGGCGGGCGGGGCGCCCTAAAGCAGAGCGCCCCCCTCGCCAGGCAGACATCCGCAGCGTGGGGAGCCTTGCCGGAGGTCCCGGCAAGGCTTCCCACCCTGCGGATAGCAGCCTGCTGCCCGGCGGGCGGGGCGCCCTAAAGCAGAGCGCCCCCCTTGCCAGGCAGACATCCGCAGCGTGGGGAGCCTTGCCGGACTTCCCGGCAAGGCTCCCCACGCTGCGGATAGCAGCCTGCCGCCCCGCAGGCATCGGCCAGCCCCACAAGCTCGGGGGACAGCAGGGAGGCGAAGCACCGCCATCCCGCTGTTCCTCGACCTGGTTCAGTTTCCCCGACCTGCTTTTGGGGGGGAAATAAAGGGAATTTTTTCCCCCTTTATTTCCCCCCAAAAAAACTAGGTGCGTCCTATGGGACGGAGCGTCCTATGGGGCGAAAAATACGGTATTTTTATAATGACGAATGCCTCATTATTAATTATTATTTACATCAGGCACTGATTATGATTTATGGTACACTGGGGCCCTGATTAATTTTCTATGGCATTTTGGGGCATTGTTTATTGGGCATAGCAAGTCGCGGTCGCGTGGAATTTGTGCTTTGTGACCGTTTGAAGTGGGGTTTTTTTCTTGGGAGGCTGGGCGGCACGAAGAGAGGGATTATTTTTATAATGATGAGGATGACATTGGGCCCTCATTATTAATTATTATTTACATCAGGCACTGATTATGATTTATGGTTCACTGGGGCCCTGGTTAATTTTCTTTGGCATTTTGTGGCATTGATTATGCAGTCGCGGTCGCGTGGAATTCCACGTGGAGTTAGTTGCCTGAAGCCCCTTTTTAGTTGCTTGAAGCCCCTTTTTAAACTTAAGCAGGTGAAAGTTTGGTGAATTGCTGCCAAGGAGTGTGGTGGAGTCTCCTTATTTGGAGGTCTTTAAGCAGAGGCTTGACAACCATATGTCAGGAGTGCTCTGATGGTGTTTCCTGCTTGGCAGGGGGTTGGACTCGATGGCCCTTGTGGTCTCTTCCACATATGTATGTGAGCAGGTCTTCTCCAACATGAACTATATTAAAAACAAGCACCGATCACGCCTCACAGATGACAGCTTGCAAGCCTGTGTGAAAATGAAGGTGACGTCTTACAGCCCTGATGTGCAGACACTGAGCACTGAGGTTCAGGAGCAAAAGTCCCATTAACCTGGTTACCTGGTTGTAAATTAAATATTTTAATTAGCTATTAATTTGTCCTTTTTTCTTGAGATTGACAGCTGACTGCACGATCCTGTATATATAGCATTAAGGCCAGAAACAATATATGTAGTGTTATATTTGTTTTAAATGTTGCAATGTTTTTGCGGCTCCCAGTTGTTGTTGTTTTTTCGGAAACGGGTCCAAGTGGCTCTTTTTGTCTTAAAGGTTGCAGACCCCTGGACTAGATGGACAAGAGTCTGAATCAATGTAAGGCCATGTTATGCTGTCCATCTGCACTATGATGCGACTGAGACGAGATTGGATTGCTAGAAAGATAAAACTACAAGCCGCAGTCAAAACATAATGCATGAAGAATGGCACAGTGGAAACCAGCCAAAACGGCTCAGACTAATCAACCATAAAGCGTAAAAGAAAGATGGCAAATTGAAGCAGCTTGTTTGCATAAGATCTCTCAGTGCAGATACAGTACAGGAAAAGGCGAGAAGAGTAGCAATATCCTATTTCTATGGCTGCTCACCCAGATGCCAGTTATAATTAACTGGCATTTTAAATGTCTTTTGCTCTTTAAACCATGTAAGAAAAAGAGCACTTCGTTAACTATCGACAGCAGCCTTTCTCATGGGGCGTATGCAAGAGGATGAAAATCATCCAACATTAGAACAGTCATGAGTTCTAAGCCTTCGTTACTTAAACCTGGGTTGGTTCTTGCGTGTGGTGTGGAGAACCTCCATATCCCCCCAAACACAGGTATATTATATTCATGTTATCCCAACGAAAATATGCAGAGCCTGTTTGCAGCTATATGTATCGATGCAGAGATTTTGACTTCACCAGTGGGAAAGTACGTCTCTCCATTAGGCCTGCTCTTCCCTGAACTGACATCTGGGGCCAGCCATTCCATCAGGCTGCCTATCTTCTCAGTGGGAGACATAGGAAGCAGAAGGCACATTTCATTAGCTTTGCTGGAGGCCCAGCTCCATCAGGCACTTCCTGCCCCTGAACTGTGCCAGCTGGTCATTACGGGAATAACTGTTTAGAAACTGGTGCCTGAGTTTTGATTTTTATTATCCTTTTCCCCTTGTGTGTCATGTTGTTGTTTTTTAGATTGTGAGCCTGCGGGTAGGGACTGTCTTGTTTTGATTGTATGTAAGCTGCTCTGGGAACCTTTTTGGCTGAAGAACGGGAGCAAATGCTTTGAATAAATAAATAAAGCACTATCAGCTTGCCCTGGCCTTCACCACCCTAGGAAATGAATGCTTTTTGAAGATGCTAGACAATCCCTGATAGCAGATCTAAGGCCTCGTTTTACAGCAGATACCAGGGTTCAAGGAAGTTCATAATGTAAGGTCTCTCCTGTCATATTAAAGGTAAAGGTGAAGGACTCCTGACAGTTAAGTCCAGTCACGAACGACTCTGGGGTTGTGGCGCCCATCTCGCTTTACTGGCCGAGGGAGCTGACGTTTGTCTGCAGACAGTTTTTCTGGGTCATGTGGCCAGCATGACTAAGCCACTTCTGGCGAAACCAAAGCAGTGCACAGAAACGCCGTTTACCTTCCCGCCGGAGCGGTACCTATTTATCTACTTGCACTTTGACGTGCTTTCAAACTGCTAGGTTGGCAGGAGCTGGGACCGAACAACGGGAGCTCACCCCGTCGCGGGGATTCGAACCGTCGACCTTCCGATTGGCAAGCCCAAGGCTCAGTGGTTTGCACCACAGCGCCACCCGCGTCCCTTTAGCGCCACCTGTCATATTAAGTTATGCCAATTTTTTTACTCGTGCCCTGATCTACAGTAATTTCCAGAAAAGTTCAGATTGGCACACTCCTACGTGCAAAGTCTAGGGCGGTCCCCACAGCTCTTGGCATGTTGACATCCATCTGTCTCAGGAGACAGCACCTGCTGTGGCTATAGAGACTGATACAGGAGAGACATGTTTTGTTGCAGCTGGGGCAGATGAACGGCTGTACTGCTTCAGATGCACCATGGAGTTTCTTCTATCTGTGCTCCTCCCAGCAGTCATTCCCCTTCTGGTCACCGCTGTGGATACACAACCTGACTGTCAGTGCTGCCTGTGTTGTAACAGCACCGGCAGTTTGCATTCTGTACAACTTAAACCATAATAATGCTCCCCGCATCCTTGATAGGTGTTCACATCTCTCCCCTCCTCCACTCGCCATGTTGTCCTTCATGCTAGGAAATGAGTAGTATGTTTAGTTAGCTCAAGTCAGCTCCCCTGCAGGCCAGTTTATGCTGCATAAGGAAGGCCTATGTGGGCTGTGCTTTAAGAAGGGAATGTTTAAAGTTGAATAGCAGCCTGAGGGCAGAAGAAGCTGCCTGTGAATTTTCCCCCTGCTCATTTTCTAACTAAGATTACATGTCATTCCCCACAAGCTCGGGCCAAGAGGGACACTTGTTTCCATGAGTCACACACAGCAAATGTGGGTCGTTTGTGAAGAGAAGCCTGATGAAAGTGAAGCTTTGCACTACAGGCAGCAACAAGGGAGCTCCTTTAACACTTCTGGGTAAGTGTGCCTTTCATAGCATGAAATACCGTAAATGCATGACTCACAATTCTTTAATGGCAGAAACAACTTTTCAGGCTACTGAAATCATTTCAGTGAAATGAGGTATTTGAGAGCGCATGAATGCCCCACAAAGAAGCCTGGGAATGTAATTTACCCTCCACAGAACTACAATTCCCAGCACCTTTAATAAGCTACAACAGTGCCCAGGTTTTTTTTGAGGAAAGTCATGTGTTTGCTGCCCAGGAATGGACTTTTGTGTGAAAGCACTTCAGTTCTGCTACTGCAAACAAATTCCTAGGCTTCTAGTGTGCTCAGAGACACCTATTCTTTAATTCTCAACAATATGTCTTTTGTACCTGGCTCTGCGGTTCTAGTAAAAAACTAAACAAAGCACATCTGACACGTCTGAAGTCTGCTGTTCCAAACCGTAGACCCAAAGGAGGGCATGTGGGAGTGGTTGGGTGCAGGGATACCAAAGAAGGATGCCAAAAACAGCAGAATGGCCAGTTCTAGTGTTTTATTAAAGACATATTAAAGAAGCCTGCCAGGTTGCCTAGTCTTTGCTGACAAGGGATGGGCACTGCAGCAAGGAGGTGGCTTGTCTGTGCCCAAGCGAACGTGCATCCATTCTTTATACACAAAGCAGCACCTGTCATTCCACCTGACTAGATGAGGGCACAGGTGGCAAATACCCAAATCTTACAGATAGCTCCCCTTTCTGGGCTCAGATCCCAGCACCCCAAGCCCACAAGGATAACATCAAAGCACACCAATTAGCTTTATCTCAAAGCAAGTGAAGATAAGCACGTATGAGCTCATTGCTACAACAACTACCAATTAATTGTGGGGTTATCTTGACTGCCAAGATGGCGTTCGCAAAGCTTCTGGAACATTTATCTTTGGTTCGGCACATCTGCCCACCCCGATTTATATGGCATGAGACTGTTCTAGCTCCCTGAGGGTAGCAGCCCTTGAACTTGCACCACCTTCTGATCTGTTTGCCTTCAATGGGGCAAATCCAAAATGGAAGCCAGCTGGTGATACCTGCAGGAGCTGGGGAGAAAGGGAACAAATGCCCCCACATGAACCAATGGGCATTTATTTTCACATGCTCACTGCCCTAGTATGAATCACCTTGTTGTGTGGACTTGTGTGTATTTGCATTCACTGTGTCAAGCGTGGCTTAGTTGTTTTACATTATTGCTGCAGTCCTATGACAAGGAATGCCTGTTTTTATCCACCAAAGGCTGGTCTAAATACATGGTATATGATCTACCCTTTCATTTATTTATTTTTACCTCTGCATCATGGAGGAACTGACCCATGTTTACATGTTTATTAATGTTAATATTATGTTATTTGTACCCTGTTCATCTGACTAGGTTGCCCCAGACCCTCTGGGATATATTAAGATTGGACCTAATGCTGGAATGTGTTTGCCACTTAATACAATGTTCTAGGAGGACCTGTTAATAGGAGGAAGATGGCCTCTCCACCCTGCAACTGCCAGTGTAGGGCTTCTGAGAACCATTTTGCCTTGAAGGGAAAGAGAGGAAGATGGGAATGACAGCACAGAGAGCTGCCCATTACCTACTTGCAAAGGTTCCAGGTGAGATGGCTTCTCCCTCCCACGATCGCCACCACCTAAGGAACATGTCGTCCAGATGTGAAATCTAGGTTGTGTACACACTATATCTTTAAAAACACATTCCTTCCCTCAAAGATTTCTGGGCACTGTAGTTTGTGAAGGGTTGCGGGGAATTGTAACTCTGTGAGGGGTATGTACTGCCCAGAATTCTTTGCGGGAAGGAACTTTAAAGGCATAGTATTTACACAGCCCAAGTTTCAAATAGTCCATTCCCCCATTCTTGGCTGTTTGATTATATAGTTTTAATCAATGTGAGTTGTTTTAATATTTCTTCGTAAACTGCTTTGTGAGGTTTGACTGAAAAGCAAGATGTAAGTAATACAATTTTTTAAAATGAGTTTGTGGGTGCCAGGCACCCATAATTCCTGGATTTGGTAGGTGTTAGAATTTAATCAGCATGTGGAGAATTAAACTGGAAGTCAGACTCTTAATAGATTCCCGTGTTCAGCCGATCGCCTGAGAGAGCCATTAACAAAGAACAAACACAGGGAGATGGGCCATCATCAAAGCAGAGACTCTGTGCCAGCCGGCAAATGGGTGGAGCCCCTCCCTGAGCTCTGAGATAGCAGAGAGAACGCAAAGTGGGGAGTTTCAGATTGCAGTTGGGGATGTTCAATGGGGGTAGTCTGTAAAACGCAGCAAGCTGGAGAGAGGCAGAACCGTGGCTGGTGTCTTTTTTTAATCCAAGGCTGCTGCGGCTATGGGAGAAATATGACCCTCTTGCGGTGTCAATGCTATGATCCCCTCCATCATAGGCTCAGGTTGTGTATATATGTAAATAAACCATATACTGTATCATAAAACACTACAGTCTCCACTGCTCCTCATTTTCCAGAAGGAAACATGAACCTTGGGTAAGCTGGAATCTTTAGAAGACACCTGAAGGCAGACCTGTGTAGGGAAGCTTTTCAATGTTTAATGTTTATTATGTTTTTATATATGCTGGAAGCTGCCCAGAATGGTTGAGGCAACTAATAATAATAATAATAGTAATAATAATGGGCTGGGGTGGTGTACAACAATATCTTAAATAAGGCTGCCTAGCCCCACCTACCTGAGAGTAAGCCTCACTGAATTTAACAGGGCTTACTTTTGAGTGCACACAATTAGGATTGCGCTGTAAATACATATTTTAAATTCTGAACACTATACAGATGCGTAAATGTCCCTCCCCCTGCCTTATGGTGCATCCTGAAATATTTTTTTATCAATTGTCTGGTGAATTTTTCTCCCCTTCATCTTTTTGCTCCCAAAGTTCATCTTAGCTTTGTCTACTGTGAGAAGGATAACAGAGCCTGTTAAGAGACTAAACAAGATAGCATTTGTAAAAGCTCTAAATAGAATCAAACTGCAAGAACAAGAAGAAGAAGGACTTGCATGTCGGTGTTGTAGGCTTTCCTTTGATTTCAAAAGTTTACCTGTGAGTTTCTGTATAACTTATGGAAGAAGGCTTAGCTTTGTAATGGCTAATGTGTTAAAATGCATTCGGTGTTCAAAGCCCATTAATATATTGATGGATCAAAACAAACAAAAGATAAAACGCCACATTAAACTCAGCAGTTCTCCGTTCAAAAAAGCAAGCCTTCATTTTATAATGGACGATAGTAGCTCAAAAATGACAGTTAGATCCGACAACACTTTCCTCCCTAGATTTACATAAGGCAGAAAATCAATTGCACTGGACTTTATGGTTGCTTCTGCTTCATCATCTCCATGTGAGCTCTGTTTGATCTCTTTTCTTATAACTGGTGCCACCAATTAATGAGAAATCAACTGCTATGGGAAACTCTTTTGTATGTGAAGTAAGATGTGAAGGTGAAAATTCTACTTCCCTTGTTTGCAAAAACTAAGGGAGTTTGGCTTATGGCAATCGTCAAAAATATTTATGAACTTCTTGGGCTGAGCTAATATTTCTTGCACAGTGCCATATTTTTGGATCTTTGGATTCCCTTCGCATGGAATACAACTATAACCATATCCTACATAATGTCACACATTACGCTGAGAAGTTCCAGGGGTTCCAGCATGCATTCTGGGTTGGTTTTCCTGGAAAGAGGTCACTGGAGACTTGAGGCATTTATGAGATGCCAAGTTTCATTTACACATAAGTATATACAGGCTGTATATACATAAGTGTAAAAGCCTGTATATACATAAGTATATATGGGGACGTGGGTGGTGCTGTGGGTTGAACCACAGAGCCTAGGACTTGCCGATCAGAAGGTCGGTGGTTCTAATCCCCATGTTGGGGTGAGCTCCCGTTGCTCTGTCCCTTCTCCTGCCAACCTAGCAGTTCGAAAGCACGTCAAAATGCAAGTAGATAAATAGGTACCACTCCAGCAGGAAGGTAAACAGTGTTTCCGTGCGCTGCTCTGGTTCGCCAGAAGCAGCTTAGTCATGCTGGTCACATGACCCGGAAGCTGTACGCCGGCTCCCTCAGCCAATAAAGCGAGATAAGTGCCGCAACCCCAGAGTCGGTCATGACTGGACCTAATGGTCAGGGGTCCCTTTACCTTTTATATACAGGCTGAACATACAGTAAGCATGGGGTTCACAGCGTGAATACTGCAGCAGATCCTGCTCCCCATTTAGCTTTCCAGGGGGCTACTACTACTACTACTACTACTACTACTACTACTAATTTATTACTTATACCCCACCCATATGACTGGGTTTCCCCAGCCACTCTGGGTGGCTTCCAACAAAATATTGAAATACAATAGTCTATTAAACATTAAAAGCTTCCCTAAACAGGGCTGCCTTCAGATGTCTTCTAAAAGTCTGGTAGTTGTTGTTCTCTTTGACATCTGGTGGGAGGGCATTCCACAGGGTGGGTGCCACTACCGAGAAGGCCCTCTGCCTGGTTCCCTGTAACTTGGCTTCCCGCTCAGTATTGTGTACAGTACACTGACAGGAAGCAGCTGTCCAGGATTGCAGGCGGGACTCTCTCCCAGTCCTACCTGGGCATAAGGCATATGGTCTGCCACTGAGCTTTGGCCCTTCCTGAACCACAGCAGTGGACTCTCGCCTCTGTGTCTCTTTCAGACTAATTTCCAGCACTACCAGTCTTTTGTTCTCTTTCACACACGCAGATCCTTGATGATGCCACCTCCAGCCTGGGGAGGGGGAAAGAAAGACCAGTCCCCTTTCAAAAGGTTCTCTGACTAATAATAATAATAATAATAATAATAATAATATTTATTTATATCCCGCCCTCCCCAGCCAAAGCTGGGCTCAGAGTGGCTAACAACAGTAAAATAATACAACATTCTAAAATCATTTCATTCTAAAATTAATTCAAATCAAATTGATGGCAACCATTGGGCTAGAGTTCTGTGAGGATTGCCAAAGGAGGGAGTCAGGCTGTGCCCTGGCCAAAGGCCTGGTGGAACAGCTTTTTCTTGCAGGCCCTGTGGAAGGATGTCAAGTCCTGCAGGGCCCTAGTCTCTTGTGACAGAGTGTTCCACCAGATCGGAGCCACAGCCAAAAAAGCCCTGGCTCTGGTTGAGGCCAGCCTAACTTCTCTGTGGCCCGGGACCTCCAAGGTGTTTTTGTTCGAAGACCGTAAGGTCCTCCGTGGGACATACCAGGAGAGGCGGTCCCATAGGTACAAGGGTCCTAGGCCGTATAGGGCTTTAAAGGTTAAAACCAGCACCTTAAACCTGATTCACTTCTGTTGCAGGAATAGCCAACATGGTGAACTCCAGATAGTAAACATGAGAACAACACTGGAACAGGCCAAAGGCGGGAAGAACAGGGCCATCGCGGCTAGTATCTGCTGATAACTTTATCCTATTAATTTATCTAATCCTCTCTTAAAGCCATCCAAGTCGCTGGCCATCATTACCTCCTGTGGGAGAATGGTCAGTGGTCAGGAGTAATGGGAGCTGAAGTCAAACAACACCAACATCTGGAAGGCGCCATCTGGCCACCATTGCCCTATGGCAACAAACCACCTGTACGTGACCATATATTTAATTATGCAAAAGACAGTCCTCCCAGGAAAAGGGAATCTAGCAGGCTAAGCTTAACCTATTTAGCAGCCTCTTTTCACAACCAGAGTTACAGGGTTGCCAGAATCCTTGAGACGCTATGCTATACCCACCCTCTCAGCTGGGATTTCCAGGTCAAGAGTCTGATGTGGCTACTCTGATGAGCTCTTGAAATAATGCAGTTTACTCATTACCTTTCAAAAGCTTGGGTGTCTGTTTTCTACAAACACACTGCTGGCTTGTTGCTTTATCTGTCACATTCATCACACAATCCCCATTCATATTTCATGATTTATTACCCTACACAGAAGTGCTTTCTGTGTATGAAACACAGCATGTGAAGCCATCTTCAGTTGAAAGTCTGGTCTTGTTTGAACAGAGGTTTTCCTAAGCCCCTAATAACATCTTTCCTTACTTTTACTCTTAGTAGATCTGACAGATATTACTTATAATTTATATTTCCTAATCTAACATATGGTGACACTTTGCTTCCCAATAGCCGATTGACATTTTTTAATGTTTCTCTTGGACTGTTGCCTAAGTACATTTGCAAATAGTTTAGTGCTCAGCTTAAAATGAATTCACTCCCAGAATTCCATTTGCAATCTATTATTTATGGCTTACAAATGTTAAGATCAAAAAGAAAATAATCAAATGTATATTATATTGTGGCATATGGTCCACTGGGATTACAAAATTCTAGAAACTTTAATGCTAAATTTGTGTAAAAGGGAGAATTCCTCCCCTCTTCCCCAAGATTCCAGAGCTTGATGCATTTCCTTAAAGGGGCGGGGGACATGAATTTGCTTATTTTCGTCCACTAGTAAGAAAAAGTATACTTGACTGCCCTACATTTATTTTATAAATTCAGAGAAAATCAGAGCAAATGCTGTCACCAGCACTGGACATACCTATGGATCAAATGTAGCCATCCACTAGCTCTCTTACTAACTGCATTATGAAAGATTCAAAGAGGAGTGTGTAAATAGCTCTGCATGATATTTAAGGAAAATTATGAATGCAGAGATTGTGGCATTACTTGGATTGGGTTACGTGCATTTGTCTCCATCTAATAAGGTAGTTCCAGATGTACAGTTGACGCACATCTGGATGTGCATGTATATTTGTGATGTTATAAATTATTATTATTAATCTGTTCACCACTGAATTTTCTGGATGTGTGGTTCAAATGTGAGTGAGTACCCCAGACCACTAGCTTCCTGGCACAAACTGGCAACCAGAGATGGCTGAGCTATCTAAAGCTCTTCTTAGAAGATTCACTTGGGAATTTTCCAAAATACTGGGGAAACTACAGTTCTCCTGCCAACCTCTGCATCTCCAAACATTAAATTGGAGACAGACAACAAAGGAGCAGCAGCAAAGACAAACAATAAGAGAAGAAAACATTCCCCCTTCTTCAACCTCTATCACCCAATTATGTGGTCTAAGAGTAAGCTGGAGTGTGGGAAAGGACAGATAAGTTTCCCCAAGGTTAGTTTGCAGTCTGTGTGGGTGTTTGCAGGAATCTCTTAGGGCAGAGCTTTTCAAACTGTGTGTCGTGACACGTTAGTGTGTCCGCTGCAATGTGTAGCTGTGTTGCGCAAACGCACCCCGCACTCCTCCCGGGGCTGGAAAGGGTTAGTTTAACCTCTGGTTTGCTAGTAAAACTGAATTACTGTGTCGTGAAATGATGCATGTCTAAAAAGTGTGTACCCAGCATGAAAAGTTTGGAAAGCTCTGTTTTAGGGATTGGGTGGGTGTGGAAAAGATTGGGGAAGCAGGTAAGCTTTATGAGCTCCCATAGTTCAGTTTGCAGCTTGGCTCTGGAGAACAGAAATTTGCTGATCTCTTTAAAGTTATTGTGGCCATTTTCTTCACACACCCCTTAAAAAGGTAAAGGAACCCCTGACCATTAGGTCCAGTTGTGGCCGACTCTGGGGTTGCGGCTCTCATCTCGCTTTATTGGCTGAGGGAGCCGGCATACAGCTTCCGGGTCATGTGGCCAGCATGACTAAGCCGCTTCTGGCGAATCAGAGCAGCACACGGAAATGCCGTTTACCTTCCCACCAGAGCGGTACCTATTTATCTACTTGCACTTTGATGTACTTTCGAACTGCTAGGTTGGCAGGAGCAGGGACCGAGCAACGGGAGCTCACCCCGTTGCGGGGATTCGAACCGCTGACCTTCCGATCAGCAAGTCCTAGGCTCTGTGGTTTAACCCACAGCGCCACCCGCATCCCCTTACTGTTGCCTTAATTTCTCTTCTCCATCTTTTCCAAACATTCCTACTCCTGCACAACTTTCACAAATGAAATGATTTAAGAAAGATAATTCCAGGGCATTATTTAATTTATTCTCATGGTAGGATTTGACGTTGCTGCTTGCAGGATGTATTCATGCACAAATCTACACCTTCAACACTTTTCAGACTTTTCAGGTCTTAACAAGAACATCATGGAAAGTGATGTTAAAGAGCTGCATCGTGGAGATGCTTCTGATAAATCTTAACAATAGCTGCCAGACTTTTAATCTGGCAGCATTAGTACCTTTGTTACCTGCCTAAGGACTTCATTTCTCTGAATCCTCATTGTGTTTTCTTCATAATTTCTCTTATATAAACATTTCCACCTTGTTTCACAACACTGAAAGATGGATAGATTAGGTAAAATTAAATTGCATTTATACCACCTTTCATGGGAATTTGCCCCAGGTAATTCCTTATCAGACAGAATTTGAATTTGAAGTGATAGTGTGTTTGCAATTAAAAGTGTTTTCGAATTGGAGGTTCATTAGAAAATGAACCACCTTACTTAGGAAAGAACCCCCATTTGTGCACGTTAAATATGTGCGCACTCACGCACATGCGCATTGCACCAAACATGGAAATGACTCAAAAACATCATAAAGAGGGGTGGAATGAGGTGGGGGCGGAACAGAGTGTTTGCTGCCTTTTCCAATTGCGCTTCAAGTATATATGGTATCACTGGCATGTGTGGTGCCTCAGAAGGTAACTCTTGTGTAATAGGGTCAAGTATGGTCAAGAAGAACAAGCAGTCACACTCCCTTGATCTTTCTCCCAACAAACCTCATCAACCAGGGTGACTAAGAGAGCTTAACTGAAATGGATTCAGTTACTGTCATAAATGTACCAAGCAAACACGTACATAAATATATAAACCACATGTGTGAAGCAGCACAGGAAGACAGTCCTGAAACCATTTTAACTCCCAAACTGACCAAATGTTTCTCTGCAAGAAGGGAGGAAATGAAAAAACCTTCCCATTGCCTCAGGAATTAAGTAATTACCATCTCAAAGGAATGGCCAGACTACCAGAAAAGGCAATCAGATAAGGCATTATCAGATAACCTGGCAGACAGGGAAAAACAACAACATTCAAATTTCTGTTGTAGACCGCCTTTTATGTGATGTAGGTATGATGTTTGTGGGGGGTGGTCTTTGGCTACACCTCTCCTGTGATTTATGTATGATGTATGGAGGGGTGGTCTTGAGCTCCAGGGCAGGGAATTTAAAAATGGCTATATAAGGGCAAGCACACGTGCTTCGTGGTCCTCCTCCTCCTCCTCTCTCCTGCGTGTGGGGGAGCACCCTGTTGCAACAGTCAATAAAGTTCAGGCTTACTAGCTGCTTTGCTTCTCAATATTCTCTGGTTGGTCTCTGTTATTTTCTCCTACCGATAGAGAACCTACAAAGGGAATTTATATGGGCTCTTGGGTACCCCATAAGGGAAAAGGAGCAGTTTTTTTTTACTTATATCAAAATCAACCTATGAAACAAAACAAAATCCTGATCCTGTACCTTCCCTAGGTAAGCAACAGAAGACAAATCAGTATCATCTATATTGTATCTATATATCTGTATCTGTATAATCTGTATCTGCATCTGTATCCCTACCCCACCCCATGGCAACTCACTGCTGCAAAAATGTTCTCAAGAGAACTCCTTTCATATTAGAAAGGTTTCCTAGAAACGTACAACATTGCTCTGGACATAATGTCTATAAAAAGTGGCAATCTATTGTTATAGTATTCTCATGTGCTGCAATATTTGAGTGCTACTATATGTATCAGTGTTTTCAAAATGTGTTGTTCAACATTAAGGACCCTGAAAAACACCACAACAGCAGCTATTGAAATAACAGCCTTGCTGCATCTTAAAGCTGGTCTATGTCCTTGAGTCTTTCTTTGGCATTTAGACTGTTGCTGGAAGGCATTGCTGCATGCCTGTGAAGAAGATGCATGTTGCAGCCTATAGCATTTTCTTACTGCATGTGTTAGGACTGTGCAAGAGCAAACCCTGAGGAAAAAAGCCCCAAAGCCTCCAGATCCCAACTCCCCTTCCCTGCTCCTGTTTATTTATTAAAATAAGCATATCCAGCTCCCACCCTCCACACAGCCAAAAAAAGGCTCTTGGGGCAGCTTACAGAAAAGAAGAAAGAAGATTGATAGAAAATTTGGGGCTTGGCAAACGGATGGAGGCAGGATTGCAAAGCAGAGTTCCCTCCGCTCCTTCCAAGGAAGGAGAGACCCTGAACAAAAGTGTGCAGCAACCCAGTGCTTTTTTTCTAAAAAAAATTAGGGGACCTCTCATTTTCCTACTTATATTGAAATACTGCCCCTCAATGAGGCCAAACTTAGATTCACAAATTGTTTAGGGGTATGTGTCCCCCTGCGTCCCCCTTGAAAAAAAGCACTACGGGAACCTTTAAAGACTTTTGACATTGCCCAACCCCCTTAGCCAAAGACCACCCCAAAATCATCATACATACATCACAGGATTTGGTCTACCGCAGACATCCTGTCTGCCAGGATACCTGATAATGGTTGCTGATTGCATTACCTGGGCAGCCTGGCCATTTTCTTGTGATGGTTCATTCTTTAGTTCCTGAATCCAAATCACAGGCTCACCCTATTCATACACAAATACGCCCTTAAGACAGGAGGGATATTTGAGGTCATTGGGAGAGTCAAAATGGCCTCAGGATTGCTCTCCTGTACTGTTTCAGACACATGGTTTATATATTTACGGTACATATGTGCATTTATCAATATTTATTATATATTTGAGACCTTAGAATTTCTTATTACAAGGCAGGCCCTGCTTTCGGGCTTGCAATCTAAAAGCCATGACACAAGACGAGGAAGGCTTTGGTGGAGGGAGAAAAGCAGGAAGATGGCAGGTGGTTTGGTTGCCCAGATAGATGGGAACAGCCAGTATTACGGGTCATACCATATATATATTCTCGTTTTTAAATGCCACTTTATTTATAAACAAGAAAACAACATGAGGCACGTTTCCCGCTGTTCGCCCCTGGGCTTTTCCCCGGGCACGCCGGCCCTCTCCTCTCCCTCCAGCCTCAGCCGCGCCTGTTGCTAGGCGACCGCTGACACCAAGGGCAAAGGCCTAGCCTGGGCCACATGCCAAAATGGCCGCCAGGGGAGGCGGGTGGCTTTTGCGTCGCCTCGCTTAAAACCGCCGCGGCGGGTGCGGAGGAGCGGGGTGGGGGGTGGCGGCGGGAGAAGCGTGGGCCTTGGCGCAAGCGTGCTGCTGCTGCGGCCGCCGCTGTCAGGCTCGTCGGCTGCGGAGTGTTGCTGTGGCGGCGGCGGCTGCTGGTGCTGCTGGTGGTGGTGGGCGGCTTTCCCAGGCCCCTCCGCCTCCCCGAAAATGGCGAGCCACCTGCCGCCGTGCGTCGTGGACGGCGGCACCGGGTGAGTGAAGGCGGGCGCCTGCCTCAGGCGTTGCGCGGCGACCCCAAACCCTCCTCTCCTTCGCCCCAGAATGGGCACCTTCTCTCGGAGAACTGGGGCGCCCCACCCCCAGAGGAGCTAGCCCCCTCCTCCCATTACTAAGGCCCTTCCATATATAGCCCCCTTTCCTTATCACGTTCTATTTCACCCCTAAAAAGACTCGCTGCCTCTCCTCTCGATCTCCTCTTTCCATCTCGGGGTTGCCCATGGCATCCTCTCCCTGCCAGCATCTTCCCACCCCACCCTACCCCAAATACTGATACGGCTTAGTATTTGACCCCCTTCTCCCTAAGGTGAGGGTACGTGTTCTCATTGTCAACCCCCCACCCCAAATTCCATACTTGCCACCACCAGTTTTGCCTTTTCGTCTTTCTCTTCCACCCACCCAGGGATGCTTGTAACCTCCTCCGGCATCTTCCCTTCCCCAAAGGATGTGAGATTTCTCGTGGTACCTCTTCTCCCCTTCCTGCTGCTATAGTGTCAGGTTTTGATGGCCTATTTATTCCTTGAAAGCAGTTAGCCGAAAGAGATTAGTGAAGGGTTGCACCCCAGGGTCTGTTCGCTCTCCCTTCTATCCTTGATGCCTTCGGTGCCCTCTATTAATAAGAAGTCATTTCGGCACATAAGCAGTATATAAATTAAAAAATAATAATAGCTGCTTTGCTTTACCTCCTCTATAAATGCCCCTTCATCTCCGCAGCTTTAAGAAGCAAGCCTCTGTCTAGGTTTCCCTCTTATGATCAGAGGTGCCAGGAGTCTGAAATCCTAAGGATTCTCTGTTCTCTGTTCTGCCCTTCCTGCTCTCTTGTCCTCGATTGCCAGTGCTTTCAAAGTGTCCAAAATGAACTCATAATACTTCTCCCCACCCCTGCCTCGCTAATTTGTGCCATCCTTGTTTTACACAAACAGCAAACCCTCCCCTGAACCAGGGCTATCTCCAAAGCAAGACCTTTAGTGGTGTATTTACCTGGATTGACCTTCATCATGCTTTTGAGGCACCCTTAGCTCAGCATGCAGTCCATGGAATCTTTGCCTGCCATACCCACAATTTAGCATATTTAAAATGATTGCCTCTGTTGGGTTTCTGCCCTACTGTCATCCCTTTTGTTCTTCTTGTGGATTTTCTCCCAATTATATTATTTTGCCAGCTTTGCTACCTCTTAAACTCTTCCTCCAACCTCATATTTCAAATATTTTGATATGATTGATTGTATATTCAGAAGATGTTGAGAATATGCTGGCATGTTGAGGCTCCCCACCACTTGGTCAGTTTCTGGAATTCGTTGAAGGAATTTCTTGTAGGAAGCAGAAAGTGTTTTATATGTACAGTGTGATGATATTATCCTTCCCCCTCTCCTCACCTTTTCCCTTATGCAAATGACAGGGTTAAATCACAAATTGATTTCAAAATCCATCTCTTAAGCCAGAATGTAAAGCCCTTGTACCCCATCCAGTCCCCCACCCTCTGTTTTCTTGCTTAACCTCCTGTAGAAGAATTGGTGACCACAGAAACTTTTGGTCATATGTGCTAAAGTATTTGATTCTCACATTGTGGAAATTTATCAGTGTTATAAGCCTGCAATTATCTATTCATTGAATACTTTTTGAAATGTATGTGCATACCTGCAGTTGTGTGCTACAGGTTGTATAAATCTTTGATTTATAATAACTCTTGCAGCTTTCTTGTAAAAGGGGAAAAATCAAGTTTTTACACCCATATTGGTTTAAAAGAATAGTAGTGGTGGGGGAAGGTTAAAACCATAGGACTGGATCTTTGTTAGTCACACTTAGTTCTAATTAAAATAAATGGTACTTAAATTGATCATGAATCAGCTGTTACATTGATATTAAGGTGAAGGTGAAGGTGAACTCACTGCCGCTACATTAGTCTGGAACTGACCCATAGAAGCGACAGGTGGAGGGGTGATAATTCCAGTAGTCACTGGGTAGGGGAATTTTTGACTTAATATGGTTCTTATTTGTAGCACTTGGACATGTGCAGCTTGTCACTTTCTAGCGCTGCAGATGAGGGATCTTCTTAAATTACCACCTCTCTGTACAACTGTTAAAAGGTGTGTGTGTTTTTTTTGGTATATGGTCACCAGATGGGCAACAATGTAGTTCTTCCTGTGTTTGGAATAATATTTACCCAAGTTACAACCCTTCTTTTTGAAGTCCTCTTGCACATGCACCCCCAAATCCCACAACTACAAATTCTGCCAACACCTTCCTGAAAGCCCTGTCCAATTTACTCCACACACACTTCACATTTTGCAAGTGTATGATTGGCCAAGCTTTGCCAAGAAGGCAAACCCCTCTTAAGTCTGGCTGGCATGCTGGAGACCTGCCACTTTCCAGGCTTTCTGGCAAGTGCTAGCTGATCACCTATAGTTCCTGGATTGCAGGATTCCTGGGTTGTAGCCAACAAATTTCTACTTGGAGTAGATCCTTGATAATTAATGGATGTAAGTTAAACATATCGATCATTTTAGTTGGTCTGTTCTGAATTTGAGTAACACTGAATAGAACTCTCTTAGGAAGTGCACATGTGCCATATGGTAGGAATTGTATAGCAATTGTCCAGTGCTTTCTTGCCAAGACATTTGATTGATGTCACAGTCACAGATAAGCAAGTCCTAGTTGAGCAAGTAAGGCTGGAGTCTGTGTCAGTCTCCCTCTGTTGCCCGGAGAGTGTGAAACCCATAAAACATTGTGAAGGTGATTAATTTTGACTGTATCTTCTGTATCCATATGGAATCGAGAAGTGATGCCAATAAAGGTTTGATGATGATGACGATGGAATCGAGAAAAAGTGTAATAAAAACCATTTAGGTGTAAATTGGATTTCCAATGCCAGGATGCCTGTGTTATCAACAACAACTGTTTTTATGATGACCACTGTTAATGTAATTGTTGTTTTTCTGCATTTAATTTCCTTCTAACCTTATTGTTTACAACCTACTACAGCCACTATACCTGCAACTCTAGGGAGCACTTCATGCATCTGATGAAGTGGACTGTAGTCCATTGAAACTTATGCCATAATAAATTTGTTAGACTTAAAGCTGCTGCAGGACTCTCTGCTGTTTCGTGTTATAGCCGGCTAACACAACTGCCCCTCTGGAAATTCAGCACCATGCTTCTTAACAGCAGTGCCTTTTCCAATGCCCCTCCCTCACGGCCCATTGCATTTATTTTTAGACTTTCCTTTTTAAGTAACATGACCAATAAACGACTCTAACCAGACTGTAAAAGTCTAGGAGAAAAAGTCTTGGATCTATCCTATTTTTAGTGCCCCCTCAGGGCTTGGGTGTGCCCATAGAGCACTTGGCTTTTAGAGGCCACAACACAAGCTACTTTTAAAACATTACTCCTTTTGAAAGATTTGCCATGCAAAGTGGGGGACCAGGGTTTGAGAAACATGAGTCCAAAGCCCTGCTGGACACACATAGCTAGTTGTTCAGTTCTTGTGATCTGGGCCATTTGGTTTAAAATACGCAAATTAAGTGTAACTGCACAATTGGTGATAGTATTCTGATGTCAGGTGTTGGTTATTGTGCTTACAGGTGAAATTGACTTTTTCCTTTAGTGTAGAATTCCAGAGACTAGTTTTGCTCTTTAGATGCCATCTGTAGTATGTACACACACTCTTGTTAATTTAGGAAATGAAAACGAGTTCTTCTCTGGAATCTTTTTTGCCCCCTCCTTCCTTCTTCAAATGATTTGGAAGATCCATTTGTTTCGGTTTTATGGTCTGCTCTATGCTGAAAGTTCAGAATATGTAGAAAAGTAAAAATTCTAATCTATCTGCTTATTTAAACCTGTTCACTGGAAAGCAGCTCCAATAGAGAGAATATTGATAAAAAATAAAATAAAAACAAATGCTGGTTTGGATGTGGCAAGTGAAAAAGAGTTCCATAAGTGGGGGAGTAACTAAAAATGCCTTTCTGTGTGCCCTTTTTTCTCTGTTTGGTAAAAGCAGGCCTCCTTGGTGGATCATGGAGTGCATAGTGGAGAAGGTGCTCTCCTTGGTATTTGGCCAATGTTCAAATTACACGGAGAGCAGAGGAGACACAGGCTACAGCGAGGCTGTAGATTGGCTAACATTTTGCTTGGAGGGGGCAGTCAGGGATCTCATACAATTGTAGAGTTGGAAGGAGCCATGAGGGTCATTTAGTCCAACCCCTCCAATGCAATCTTTTGCCCAACATGGGGCTCAAACCCACAACCCTGAGATTAAGAGTCTCATGCTCTACTGACTGAGCTATAAAAAGCAGTTAGTGGATTGCTTTTTAACAGATGTTTTCAAGATGCCATTAAAATGCTCTCACTTCTCACAAACACCTAAACTCCAAAAAGCCTCCCCATAATTTGAGCATTTGTGTAAAATGTTTATAGGACAAAATGAGTTTAGTTTGAAAAATGTCATGAAAAATGTCAAATTGTGCCCAAAACTACGTGCCTGAAATTTTTCTAGTTCTGGAAATAAGCATATCATTATTGTATGCATTTGTATATTGACATTGAGAGCTGCCACACTAAATTATTGATTTCTTATATATGTAGAACAAGTACTGTATTATGTGGGACCTATAACAGTGCCATTTCCACAGATTAGTGGTTGCATATGCACATATGGGGTAAGGTGATCTCACAAGTAAACTGGCCCCAAGCTGTTAAGGGCTTGATTTTACTGTTTTATCTCTTGTAAACCATTAGGAAGTTGTTTTTTTAAAACAAAAATCAAGTGGAGTATAAATTATATTAAATAAATAAAACAAGCAAATAAATAAATATACTAACACCTTGTACTTGGCCTGGTAGCAAATCAGCAACCAGTTTCTGGTCTCTGAGCAAAGATAATTACTTGCTGAAAGGGTTTCACTCTTGCCAGCAATTGTGTTGCAGCACTAATTGAAGCTTCCAGATCAAGCGCAAGGGATGCCCCACATAGAGAACATCGCAGTAATCCAGACTTGCAGTAACCAGTGCATGAACTACTGTAGCCAAGCTTTCCTGGTCCAGGAGCAGCTATAGTTGTGCCAGGCACAACTGGTAAAAGGTGTTTCTAGCCACTGAGGCTTCTTGGGCCTCCAGTGACAAAGATTGATCCAGAAGCACACTCGGAGTGTAAACCTAGCCCTTCAGGGGGAGTGTAATCCCACCCAGGGTAGAGAGTTGACCAGTGTCTCAGACATGGAAACCACTCACCCATAGTGGCTCCATTTTGCCAGCATTCAAGCTCAGCTTGTTTTCCCAAATCTATCCTGCCAATGCTTCCAGGCACCTGTCCAGGGACTTCATGGCCTCTCCCGACTCAAGATGTTATGGAGAAATAAAGCTGAGTGTTATCAGCATATGGATGCCTCCTGGCCCAAAGATTCCTAATGGCCACTCCCAGTGGCTTCATATACATATTAGCTAGCACTGGATATAATAAGATAGTGCCCTCTAGTCACCCAACTAAGCAGTCTTCAGATGTGAGCCCTTTAGATTGCAGGCATGTGTTTCATTAGTAGAACCCAAAATGGTTTCAGCAATTGCTTGATCCTTTTGTTAATAATCACTCATCCTGTATCTCATTCCCAAGCCATGATTTGAATTTTTTATTTTACTGCATTTCTTCTGCCTAAACGCACTGTCTGCCAGGTTCTGCTCCTCTTTCAGTTGTATAAATCATCTCTCTCTCTGACAAGTTTCCCTAGCGATCAGTTTACATGCCCCTGATTTCACATGGTCAGAATGATCTATATTAAGATTGTTTGGAATGACATGTGCCTTGATGTTGAAGTCAAACTGCATTTCATATTAACTGTTAGTTTCAGCAGTGTAAGGTCTCCTTGGGAGTCTTATAACTTTGTACTGTTGAGGCCTTGCTGCATTTGGATTAAGGGTGTGCCCCAAAACATACATGCCTGGGGAATAAGTCCCACTGAAATTGGTGGGACTTATTTCTAGGAAAGCATGCTCAGGACTCTGCTGTAAATTAATACAACTTCTCAAAAGTGGTGGTATATTATTATTGTCATTTTTTCGTTTTCTATGCTGCCTTTCATCTGAAGATCACAAGGTGGTTTACAATATAAAAAGAAAAAATAATGCCCGCTCCACATAATTGTTTAATTAACCAAAGGCCTGGAAGAAGAGGAATGATTGCCTGGCACCCTTGGGAGAGCATTCCACAAGCAGGGGGCTACTGCAGAAAAGACCCATTCTCATGTTGTCACCCTCCAGACCTCTCATGGAGGAGGCATGTGAAGGAGGGCCTCAGATGGTGGCAAGGTCTGGGTCGGTTCATATGAGGAGAGGCAGTCCTTGAGGTGTTGTGTTCCTGAGCCATTTAAGGCTTTATAAGTCAAAACCAGCACTTTCAATTGGGCCTGGAAATGAATTAGCAGCCAGTGCAATTGGGCCAGGATTGGCATGATTCCCCCACTTTCAGATCACCCTCTTCCTGCCCTGTTGAGAAAACAAGGTCACTCTAGAGTGTGCCTTGCATTGAGCAAGAGACATGTCAGGACAGCCCCATGGTTATCATGGAAGCCATGAAGTCCTAAGCCACCCCAGGACCAGTCGCTTCAGCATGGATGTTGAAGTCCCTCCAAACCAGCAGTCTGTGAGTCCTCAGTACTGCCTCCAAGACCAGCTGTCAGCTCAGGTTGGGAGACTGCTGGGCAGCGAGGTGGGCGGTAAACCAGCAGAATCTCTAATCTGTCCTGATTGCCCAGTGTCAGGAACACACAGCCTAGATCCCCCCACAACTTGACAGAGACCCTGGAGACACAGAGAGAGTTTCTATAGAACAGCAGCTCCCCTTCCCTGGCCCTCAAGTTGGCCCTGATGCTGCCCTGAGTACACCATAGACCAGAGTTTTCCAAATTTTTCATGTTGGTGACACACTTTTTAGACATGCATCATTTCACGACATGGCAATTCAGTTTTACTAGCATCTTATGGGAGGCGTAGCAGTCCTTGATGAGGTCCTCAGATTGTCTCTTGAAGAAGAGGGTTAAACTGTAGCCTGGTGAAATGGTTACTGGTTCTTACCTGGTTGAAGGGACCTATCCTTGCTTTGCCAGCCAACTTACAGACTTTCAGGGAATATACCTCATCACTTTTGGCTACCAAGCGAGTTGTTAAAACACAAGGCTAGTCTAAACACTAAGTGTTGTGTGAGTCACTAATTATACAGTATTTTGTGTAGCACATTTGTATAACAGCAGCTTTGTTGTTCCACAATACGCATTTGAAGACTGGTTCACTTTCTTGTTTTAGGTATACAAAACTGGGTTATGCAGGGAATACAGAACCACAATTCATTATCCCATCATGTAAGTAATTTTTACTCTTCGTTATAAAATATGTGCTGATTGATGAAGAGAGGCGACTGCTTTTCAGCTCTCTAGCTCAGCTTTCTTTGGGTGGGGTACATTTTGCTCTTTTTTGAGAAATGGTATTTACTACACTACTGTGCTTGGCTAGTGGATAACTGAAGAGAAAAGCTTGCTTTCCTTCTTTGCCAGGTCCGGCCCCCATTAGACCAGTTTCTGGTTGCTATGACAAGTCCTGTTTCCTGCCTATCTCCATTGTGTTGCTGCCAGGGATCTGCCTTAGCAGACAAGGGGCTTCCTCTTTACCTGACACCATGGATACAACTTGAATAATCTTCCAGTCCATTTATATACTGAATTGCAGATGCCACCTGGCTGTGAAATGGTACATATTTGGCTAGGATTTTAGAGTTTAGAAAAGGGCGGTGTTAATGGGATGGCTTCTTGTAATTCTTTAATGTAGGTATTGCAATAAGAGAATCGGCAAAAGTTGGTGACCAAGCACAGAGGAGGCTTACCCAAGGAATTGATGATCTAGACTTTTTCATTGGAGATGAAGCCGTAGATAAACCTACCTATGCTACAAAGGTAAGGCTGGAGTAAAAAATGAAGCACCCTTCAAAAAAAAAAAAAGGAAGGAAGGAAGAAAGAAAGAAAGAAAGAAAGAAAGAAAGAAGGAAAGGAAGGAAGGAAGGAAGGAAGGAAGGAAGGAAGGAAGGAAGAAAGGAGCTGTGGGCAGGCTGATCTTTGCTCTTGCAAGATGTAGCGGCAGGCTGTTGCAAGATGTAGCGCAGTGCAGTTTAGTGAGGACACATGTTTTTAACCAATCTGATTCCACAATACTTCTTTTATGGATGTGTTGTTAAGATGTAGCAACCTCAGAGTGGGTATGACCAATGCACAGAGAAGAATTGGGTATTTGAGAGTTCCGACTTGATTATCCTTTACCACGCAAAAGTATCTTGCTCCTTTAATCACCTCCACTCTTCCTCTTTTGCTGCCCCATATACTTGAAGCCCTTCCCAGTACTTGGTGCCTCTTTCCTTCAAATCTCTCTTTAAAACCTGTGAAGTCTTTAGCTCAACCCTTAGTCCTTCCTTATCATTTCAATCAAGGTTATGTGTACATATGTATTTGTCCCCTGTTACCCTTGCCTTTCTCTTTACTTCTCTCTTCCGCTGTTGCAACCTAGACTGCAAGCTCCTTGCATATGGGACTCCATAAACCATGGCACTGTGTCTACATGTTTTGTTCAGGTTTATGTTGGCTTTCTCCTGATCAGGCAGAGGCCAAGCATTGCTAGGGTTCTTCCCCTCCCATGCTGCATCTCCTGTCTCCTGTCCTGGTACTGTTGCCTTTCTGACTGCTGTCTGAGTTAAGGTGTTGCAAAGGACTTTGAGAGCCGAGAATAATAATTTATTATTATGATGTGTACACAGAACATGGCATGCAAAGGGACTCTTCCCTTCAGCATTTCAGTGTCAGGCATGACTTGTTTTTCTTATTTGGAAGCCAATTGGGGGCAGGCCCTGCTCATGATGAGTTCCTTGTGTGCAGCGTGTCTGCTGGATTGAGACAACAGAATACAAACCTACTCATATTATGCAAAAGTAACATGCTTTTCAGTAGTGTGATATTTTTCCATTTACCTTTGCTTCAGTGGCCTATACGACATGGTATTGTGGAAGACTGGGATCTTATGGAAAGATTCATGGAGCAGGTTATTTTTAAATATCTTCGAGCTGAACCAGAAGATCACTACTTCTTGATGGTAAGAGGAACAGGCCAAAGGTTTGCCATTCTTAAATTTACATTTTACAACTTTTTAAAAAACTGGGGAATAGTTAGTCCCATGTTCTCTTAGGTCAGTATTCCTCATCTTCTCCCCTGTGGATGTTTTGGACTGTATTGTCCCTGATGGGGCTGAATAGCGTTGCAATACAAACAACTAGAAGGCACCAGGTTGGGGAAGGCTGTCTTAGATTCACATATCTTTATAAAAACAGGGCTGCTAAACACACACACACACACACACACACACACACACACGAGTGTCAATGCCAAGTTTAATAAAATGTGTTTTATGCTTTTATAATTTAATAATATCTTTTAAAAACAGACTGAGCCACCACTGAATACTCCTGAGAACAGAGAATACCTCGCAGAAATCATGTTTGAATCTTTTAACGTGCCAGGACTTTACATTGCGGTTCAGGTAAACAGTGAATCTCTCTAACAGTGAACAATATCTTCGCAGAATAAAGTATGGACATCTCTGCGCGTATTACCTAAATTAAGGGTTTTTAGAGTGTGAAGGTTGCTTTAATTTGGAGGTGAAAACTTTTGTTAGATGTGATGAAATCCATATTTATTTATTTAGTGCTTTTTTTATCTATTGTTCAGCCAAAAAGGCTTCTTACAAAAAGCACCTTACAAACAATAAGTGAGAAGCGATATAGTTGCAGCCCGTAGGTTTGCAATTTAAAGGATGGAAAATCAAAGGAATGGGGAGGGAAGATGAAAGCAAGCAAACTCAAGCACCAGTTCTTAAAATTATGATGTTTTTATAATGATCAGCTTAAATGGAAACACTTGAGGGGAGAGGAGGAGCCAAGTGTGGTTTGATGGGTCTCCCAGCTGAACCAGTGGAGTGGGTCCTGTGGCCTCACCTCTCCTTCTAATGTGGCTAGGTAGAGTGCCAGCTAAAGGATAGCTAATGAGGGAGAGAAGGAAGCAAATAGATCATTTGTTAAACTGAAGGTGAACAGGACCAATAGAGCATTCCTGTATCTGTTTTGTACATGAACTACCTTTTTATGTGGATTTTAATGCATGCTATGTTCCTGCTAGGGACACGGGTGGCTCTGTGGGTAAAACCTCAGCGCCTAGGACTTGCCGATCGTATGGTCGGCGGTTCGAATCCCTGCGGCGGGGTGAGCTCCCGTCGTTCGGTCCCAGCTCCTGCCCACCTAGCAGTTCGAAAGCACTCTTAAGTGCAAGTAGATAAATAGGTACCGCTTTATAGCGGGAAGGTAAACGGCGTTTCCGTGTGCTGCGCTGGTGCAGGCTCGCCAGAGCAGCTTCGTCATGCTGGCCATGTGACCCGGAAGTGTCTCCGGACAGCACTGGCCCCCGGCCTCTTAAGCGAGATGGGCGCACAACCCTAGAGTCGGACACGACTGGCCCGTACGGGCAGGGGTACCTTTACCTTTACCTTATGTTCCTGCTATTTACCTCTGATTTTGCTACAACTTTATCTAGATGTTCTTGTTTTACTTACGTATGTGGGGAGTGATTGATAAAAAAACTTTAAGCTCTAAACTTTGCATTTCAAGAAGCTACATCTAATGGTACTGGGACAGACTTTTCTTAGAAGTGGCATAATATGAAATCTCTCTCTGTCTCTCTCCCCTCCTCTCCCAGGTGGCCCAGCAGGCAACCTTTCTGCTTGCTTTATATAGCAGATGGAGATTTTATTTCTTTTAGATAAGACGTAACTCCTTCCCAATGTTTAAAGTTCTTAACGTATTGCTGTCTTGGCAATCCCTTTAACAGGCTGTTTAACACTGGAATTATTATCACTATATGTTTTCCCACATCAGTAGCAGCCTGTGTTGTGGCTCCACCACAACACCAGTGTCCTTGTGGCTTCTGAACACAGCGTGGGACTAGTGCTTACCAGAAAGGGAAGTGCAAGGTGCAGGGAGCTTGGTGCTGGGCAGATATATAAGTGCTGGATTAGCTCTGGTGCACCACACAATGCTGAGCTCCCTGTGCTTTGTCCCTTCCCCTCATGCTGTGTTCGGAAGCCAGGAGGTCTGGGGTACCTCACCTTCACTGCTGCATGGGCCACTGCTGCCCCACATGCTTGTTTTTTTGTTTGTTTGTTGTGTTAATAGCACCTATGGGGAATCCTGGGCAATCCCTGGACTGTGGCAGAGGGGCTAAGGAGGAAAGTTGCTGGTTAGCTCAGTTGGTTAGAGCGTGGTGCTGATAATACCAAGATCATGGGTTTGATCCCTGTATGGGTGCATATCCTGCATTGGTGGGAGTTGGACCAGATCAGGCTTCCTCAGCCTCGGCCCTCCAGATGTTTTTGGCCTACAACTCCCATGATCCCTAGCTAGCAGGACCAGTGGTCAGGGATGATGGGAATTGTAGTCTCAAAACATCTGGAGGGCCAAGGTTGAGGAAGCCTGGACTAGATAATCCATGGGGTCCTTTCTAACTCTATGGTTCTATCATTTTATCATCTCTTTATGACGTCACTTCTCTTCCCACCCCATCACAGTGGAAAAAACTGGCCTCTTGAAAGTTGCTACTTGCATCTTGAATGAAGCCACTGTGGCCACCAATACAAGCTTTTCTTGAACCACAAATAGTAGTTTTAGCTGTTCAGGCTTTCACTCTATTTACATAACAATAAAGCACATGTGAATTGCCTGTTTCATAGCTCAAGTTCCTAGCAGCTCTTAGGTTTCCAGTTTTAATCTGTTAGTTCTCAATTTGGCTGGAATTTGGGTGGTGGTTTTATGGCTTCTGAATGGTTGCTGTTGTAATCTTTTACCCTGTGCAGGCCGTGTTGGCTTTAGCTGCATCTTGGACTTCACGGCAAGTTGGGGAACGTACTTTAACTGGAACTGTTGTTGACAGTGGTGATGGTGTGACCCATGTCATTCCAGTGGTAAGTGGTATATGTGTTCTGCATCATGTATATTCAACATTATGTGCTTTGCTTACCATAGCTGAAAAGCACAGGCATATTATTATGTGAATTTTTGAAATAATAAGGAAGGGAATTTATTAAATCAACACGTTTAACATTTAGTATCAGAATGTGGTAGACACACACTGATTTGATCTCAAATAAGACCATGCTTTTAAGTGAAGCATGTGAAGATCTTGCTTGCCTTTTGAAAATAAGGACATATAAAAATTGTATTGTGTAGGAAAAACTAAGTTGTCCAGGATCTCAGAATCTATACATTAAGTCAAAGAACCCAAATGAAATTTTGATTCCTGTTTCTTGAACAAAAGACTCTTTTGTTTTATTGTAAACCACCTTGAAATTCCATTCAGATTTACAAGTAGTATGCATTTATTGCATTTAAAAGATTTATATCCTGCTTTGGAAGACTCCTCAGTGTAGCTTCCACTTAAAATTAAATAGCACATACAATATAATCTAAGATACAATAAAAATGACAAATAAAGCAGCAGACAGCACATTAAACCAAAACCAACACAGAAAGGTGGAAAAAAAATTCAACATATGCCAAATGCCTGGAGAAATAAAACCCTCCCTTTAGGGTGGGGGTTTCATTGTCTGGGTATTGCAACCAAAAAAGCCTTGTCCTGTGTCCCCCACATGCCTCTCAAGGTGTCAAGCATGGAGAAGGGCCTTGAATGTTGAACGCAGTGGTAGGGCAGATTCATGTGGTAGGATGTGATCCTTCAAGTATCCTAGTCCCAAACTGTTCGGGGCTTCGTAGGTAATAACTGGCATTTTGAATTGCAGCTGGAAATGAGCAGGAGATTATGCAAAGCTTGACTAATGTGTTCTTCAAAGAGGGCTCCATCTGTGGAAGCCCAAAAAGGGCATCTCGTTTTGCCCCAGCTGTAGTTTCTGAATGCTTTTCAAAGGCAGCCTCACGAAGAAGAGTGCTTTGCAGTAATTTCTAGTGCAGTATGGCAAGGTGGTGACGTGGATGAAAGAAAAGGGCAAAATCCCCACTGGGACCATGCAAACCTTTGGGTGCATGAAAAGTAGCTTTTTGGATCCCTGCCCAGGTTGATTAAAATAGCTGCTTCTCCCTTAGGGCATGCTTTCAACTGTGCTTCTGTCATTGCAGCTTAATTCTTTTGGGACCTTGAAGAAGCTAAACTTCCATTTAGAGCATGAAAGTAAGAACTGGTTCGCACAACCGTTTTGCTTGAACCAGGGCCCTTCTTATTTCCATCCCATTTTATACTATGCGCTTGGCAAATGGGTTGTCTTGATCATTTCTCATGACTACATATTTTGCATCCCTGACTATTATGCTTTAGGCGACAGCAGTGCCAAATGGTGGCTTCTTGTAGCAGGTGGCATCTCAGGGACTGGTTTGCTGTGGGCCCAGTGCAATCCAAGTTGAGGGAGAAAAAAGTTGGTCACCTGCAAGAGAGGTTGTGGGAACTGCAAGAGAGGTTGTAGTTGCTTGATACCAACTTACCTGGGAGTCAGTCCCAATGAACTAAATGGGGCTTATGTCTAATATATGTATAGGATTGTGCTATCAGTATGGCTTCTCTTGAGCTATAAACGCTAGATAGCAGCAACTGTTTGAACGTGTTGCTATGGATCTACTACTCATAACCCCTTTTTCTCCTTCTCCTATAGGCAGAAGGTTATGTAATTGGCAGTTGCATCAAACACATCCCCATTGCAGGTAGAGATATTACATATTTCATTCAACAGCTCCTAAGGGAGAGGGAGGTGGGAATTCCACCCGAACAATCATTGGAGACAGCTAAAGCCATAAAGGTAAACACTTTTGTGAAACTAACCAGCCTGTCCAGAAATAGATTGCCAGTGAATCATTGAAATATAACAACTTTGTAGTAAAAAATTCTCCCTGCCACATCTTTTCTCAATTGTTTATTACTAGTGGCTGTGTTCTGTGATTGTTGCAGCACAGTGGTGCCATGCATAGACAGCTAGTTAGAGTTTTTGGGACTTGGGGGAAGGAAGTGAGCAGGATAATCTCCTGTCATCTTGCACACACTCTTTGTCCCTTTGTGTCCCATAAGAGAGGGGGTTGATGGGAAAAATAAGTTGTGAAAGGGAAACTAGGGCAGCGGTGACTGAGAAAGCGAGAAGAGGTGAAACTCAAAACTGGTGCAGAGTTGAGACTTTTATTAAACTGATTTCAAAAGCCTCAAATTTTTTATTTGGCACGCATTTTTTCCTCTGGGGCAATGGTTCTATATGTTCTGTTTCAACAAGGTGTCCTCAGAATTCTGGTCCTCTTCTTCCTTATAACAGAAAGGGAGAGATGGTGCCTATTGACAACCAGAGCAAAGCCAGCCACTAGATCTGTCCCGCTTGCCAGGCATAGGGAAGGGCATCAACTTCAGTGGCAAAAGCCCCTTGGCTATCCAGTCACATGAGGTGATTGCAGGCATGCCTGCAAGCAATTCGTGTGAGCTATGTTTTTCTCTGCACTGGCTATGCATGGGAATTGCTTCTGGCCATAATTGCCTGCAGGAGCTAATGTTACTGGCAACATTTTGAGCAAACAGACAGTCAGATATGCTGCAGTTCCACTTTTTTTACTTGTGCTTATTATGGGCTTCAAGGGTTGAGACCCTGGATTTTGGTTCAAATGGCAAACCCTCCCAGTGGTGTTTCCCACATAGCTGTGTTGCAAGGGATATTCTCTCTCTCCGACTGCAGATCAGCCAGAGAGGAGAATGCTTATTTACAAGCACAGAGTGCCATTTGCTCACAAGCAGTTGATTGTAGCATTTTTAAGACAGATTCCTACTGATTCGGATGCTGCTGTGTCTCTTCTCAATTGCATGCCTAAGGCCACAGTTGTACACTTTATTGGGAATGAGACCTTCTTGCATTCAGATGGCCTATCCCTTTAATTCAATAAAATAATTGTGTTTCTTCATCTTTGTATTTCTTCATAGGAAAAGTACTGTTATATTTGTCCAGACATAGTGAAGGAATTTGCCAAGTATGATACAGATCCACGCAAGTGGATAAAGCAATATACAGGCATCAATTCAATCAACAAAAATAAATTCATCATAGATGTTGGTTATGAAAGGTTTCTTGGGCCAGAAATCTTCTTTCATCCAGAGGTAAGAGTCTGCTGTAGTAGTGCATGTTGTTGGCATCCATCTTTCTCGAGAGACAATGGAGTGTGCCTCAGGGGGTGAAGACAGGCCACTGTGGCACTGGAGTGAGCTCTCTGGGACACAAGCCAGGGCAGTGTGTATGGAGGTCCTGGGCTGTCTAGATGACAAGACCCTCCTCTCAGAGAAAGCAATGCGTTTGGCACCATCTTGACTGCAGGAGTTGCTGGAAGGAGGCGTACAAGGCGCCATCCAAGCACCTTAGGGACTCCACTCTGTATTTGTGTAGGGTTAACTCCTTTTCCTTTTCTTCTCCTGAAGATACCCTGTAAGGCATAAGAGGTTATGATCAGAGCTTTCCTTCTCCTAGATCAGGGGTCTGCAACCCACGGCTCCGGAGCCTCATGTGGCTCTTTTACACCTTTGCCGCGGCTCCGGGGCAGATACTAGCGAGGGGAGGAGGCGCATTGTGTGCCCCGACACTCCCCACTGTGGCGGGCGCTGTACTGGCTGTGACGTCACATGGGGGCGGTGCGTGCGTTAGTCACGCACCGTCCCGATGTCACCTTCCCGCCCGCTGTCAGATCGGAGGGCAGCGGCGCGCATGCTTTAAATGTCGCAATGGTTTTGCGGCTCCCAGGTTTTTTTCCCCTTCGGAAACGGGTCCAAGTGGCTCTTTTTGTCTTAAAGGTTGCAGACCCCTGTCCTAGATGGACTCCTTTCCCAGGTTGACGAGCCCCATCTGCCCCTCACTTCCCTCTATAGTATTTGCAGAAACCTGCCTTCTTGACTGTTAGACCCACTATTGGTCTTGTCTGCTCAATCCACCAGATTGTGTCTTTGCATGCAGGGGAGCCCCCTAACTCACTGAGGGTTTGAGACCCATCAGCTACCCTCACCTGGTTTAGCCGGCCAGTTAAAGCTGTTTCCAGTGTGTGTCCACTGTCACATGCTGACAGCATCTAAGAGCTACAGGTGGACAGACTACCCCAGAAGGAGCACGATGTATCCCCTGCCAGAGGTACTGCCCCTCCTCTAACACTCTATGCAACAACAATAATGTTAAAAGTAATAATTGTACTAGTCATATTAGGAAGGAATGTAATGGCACTTCTTGTGAGAGAGCACCACCTTGTGGCTGAATCATAGTAAGATGCATTAGAATTAAATGTACACACACAACCGTTATTAACAGTTCTCTATGCTTTTTAGTTTAGGGGAGCTTACCATGTAACACTGTAGAATTTACGAGGGAGTTAGCCCTTAATCTCCTACAGTCTCTATACTGAGAACAACTAGGAATGGGTATTAAGCGATGTATAAGCCATGGAAGAAGCACTTCTTCCATGATATGATATTAACATATCATGTTAACTTATAACCGTTGTAGATAAGTTTGTGGTGGCTGCACTGATGCCAATGTATTACAGAAGTTACTTATTGCTCCCCTGTGTTATTATGAAATTGTTTTTGTATTGGGTTGGTTTTTTTGAAATGCATTCCTGCTTTCTTTGTTGAAAGTTGCTTTGAGCATGATTTTTTCATGTGTGGAAAACGACATACAAACAAAGTGAATGAAAATGAAAAAAAGAAAGAAAAGAAAGATAACACTCACTGATTATCTGTGGGACAAACTGGTGGTAGACAAATGGTATTAATTACTACTGTGGCTGCACGTGTGAGGTTTAAGCAGTAAGGAGGTGCTATTACCAATGTCAACTTGAGCTGTCTTTTGGGTGGATCTGATGAAGTAGGCTGTTGTCTGCAAAAGGACCTTGTCAGTCTTCATTGTGGCACAGCACTCTGAGACGTTTCTTGTTGCAATGGGCTAACATAGTCCTCTAAACTATGTCTCTTTAGCCTTTTCACCACAGCCTTGCTTGTGTGTGCATATAATGAGCCAATCACCTGTGTTTCTACCTACATTTCTTTTAGTTTGCCAATCCAGACTTTATGGAATCCATTTCAAATGTCGTTGATGACGTTGTACAGAACTGCCCCATTGATGTTCGGCGCCCTTTATATAAGGTACAGTTTTGGGGGGGGTTGTCTTTTTTTGGGGGGGGATAACTAATGCATGTTCATTTGGTCTCCCAGATATTGTTGGACGCCATCAGCCCCATCCAGTATGGCCAGTGGTCATCAATGATGGGAGGGAACTCTAGTCCAGCACCACCTGGAGGACCACGCTTGAGCCACCTCTGACATAGATTCAGAGGAGCCTCTGTAAAGCGGCCGGCCGTATTACGTGTACAAATCCCAAAACGAATGAACAAAGAGTGAAAGCAGTTAGTTTTATAAGTGACAGAAGCCCGTAATCCTTTAATAGAGCAATGGTCTTGTCTTGCTGCTGTGATAGATTGGCAGTACAAGTAATATTAACCAACTTCAATCCCTAGAAGTTGATTGTCTTATTATTATTATTATTATTTATTAAATTTGTATGCCACTCATCATCTAAAGATCACACGGTGGGAGAAATAATCTCACAGAGCCTGACTTATTCCGAAGGTGATAACCATAGTTTTCTGTTTGGATAAAACAGAAAATTATGGTTCCTTGGAGAACTCACTCTGTTGATGTGCCCTGCAGGAAGAGGAGAGCAGGGAATGCATATTTGGGCTTATTAAGCTGCAATACTACCACCCAAATGCAGCCAGGGGTGGGAATTGGGGGAAACTTGAACTTTGAGAGGCACTTCCTGCATTTATTTCCCTTAAAATGGGTAAGAATGTTGGTGAAAAGTTCCTGAAGGTTTGTGTAGACACAAAGTGAGAATGAGTGCTTTTGATAGGTTTGACTTCCCCAGGCTGGTTCTCAAGCTATTCATTAGCATGATAATACTAGGTGAGACTTTTTTTATATATATATAGTCATCTCAGAATGTCCATAGTGTGGCAAGATCTGGCATTTGCCATGTAAACATACCTTTCCCGAAACTTAGTAAATAGCAGACTCTTCAGATGTACACTGTCTGTGGAGATTCTGCTTCAGTAATGACTGTAGATGGATCCCTCTCCCCTCTATGAATTTTTCTGTAATAGGTTTTGAAAGCCACCTAATCTGGTAGCTAGCTTTTGCTTGTGAATTCTCTCCTGTACCTAACCCCATTGATGTTTGTGAATTGTATAAGCTAATTATGTGTAGGTTGAAGATGCAGCCCTTAGCTTGTCTGGCTATTCATGCATTAATGATGCCAGTTTCTGGGTATTATTTGGCTACTTCCCTAGATGTGTCTAAAGAATTGAAGGAAAATAAGCTGGGAGGCAACCCTGAGAGAAAAGAACTGAAGGAAAATGGGAGCCTTATTGTCATGTGGATTCTCTGAGAAGAAATTGATTGTTAGCACTCTGGTAATAACAAAGAGTGCTGCTCCTTCCCTGCTGGCTCCTTCCTTTTTGTATTTCTAGGGTATGTTAGTAATTTAAATGCTAAACACTGTATTTGGGAGTCCCACTGCACTCTCCATAGCAGGGAGCCTAGCTGAAGTCTGCTTTTATTAATTTCTGTCTTTCCGTTGGTTTCTCTTTCTTAAATCTTTTCCAGCTGGGATTAAATTACTTAGATCTTCCCCGGAGTGCTCCATATTTTTCCCTGTTATGCTGCTTTCTGAGCATCAGTCAATGTTCTCTTACACTCAGCTGACAAAATTGTGCTCTTTTCAACATGGCTGGCCATGTGAGGCAGTAATCAAAGATGATCACCTGCATTCTGCATCTCAAGAGTGTCCCAGCTCTCCCCAATCGTACAGGGTTCTAATCACCCTCGTTTTGGGTACTTTCTTATCTTTTAAAAATAAAATTAAAATGGCACAATTTAAATAGTGTTTTATTTTGGAATTTTAATTGATTGTAATAGAACAAGGGAGGTTGAACATTAAAGGAAACATATGGATAAAAATCAATTGTTTCTTAAAATGAAATTTAAGTGATCAAATACTATTATAGTTGGTGACTGATGCAATTTTGAAACACACCATGGGTGTATCTATGCTCTGTAACCTTGCACTTCTTAAAATACAGCAGATGGGACATGTGCGATGGGCGTGCTCAGCGGTGGTGTCTGTTTTTTGTTTGTTAGAAGATCAGCAATTTTCACCTTTGGGTTCCTTAAAAACTCTCAAGTGGATGCCATTTGGATGCAGTGATTTTTCAAATTTCAATTTGTCAGTAAGGCCTAGAACTTTGTCTCAGTTCCTGAGATTCCCTTCTTGAGAAAGTTAGTTCAGGCACAGGGATCTGGTGTACATCTTCCACTGTGAAGACAAATTGGAAGAATTCAGCTTCTCTGCAATCTCCTTTTCCTCCTTTTGCACGCTTTTGATTCCCTTTTTGTCCAAAAGTTCAGCCACCTCCCTAGCAGAATCCAAACTTCTCATAATGTATTAAAACATTTTGTTAGTGGTGGCCCTTTTCCCCCCCGTGGTGTGCTCTTCTAATTTAAACGCCTTATTGTCTGCTTCCTTTTCTTTTGCCAGAGTTTTATGTTCCTTTTTGTTCAGAAGATGGAAGCCTTTTTTCCTCAACTAGCTTTCTTCACTCTGCCCATTAGCCATGCTGGCATCCTCTTGCTCTCAGTGGTACCTTTCTTGAGCTGCAGTATGCATTCTAGCTGAGCTTCTATTGTTGTTTTGACACTCACTCACCCAACACCATTCTGGAGAGATTTCATCTTATTCCCATTCTTTTTGCCAACTTCCCTTTTTACCAAGCTCCTCTGTTTTGAGACGTTTTTCTTTTCTGAAGTCCAAATGTGATAGAAATCAATATATTTGACTTAAATAGCTCTATTGGCTTGCTGGACAAAAGGCAGTCTGCTAGGTCTGGGCGATACCTGGTTTTCAACATTACGATATATCACCAGCTAAATATCACAATGGGGACACGGGTGGCGCTGTGGGTTAAACCAAAGAGCCTAGGACTTGCCGATCAGAAGGTCGGCGGTTCGCATCCCCGCGATGGGGTGAGCTCCTGTTGCTCAGTCCCTGCTCCTGCCAACCTAGCAGTTCGAAAGCACATAAAAGTGCAAGTAGATAAATAGGTACCACTCAGGCGGGAAGGTAAACGGCATTTCTGTGCGCTGCTCTGGTTCGCCAGAAGCGGCTTAGTCATGCTGGCCACATGACCCAGAAGCTGTCTGCGGACAAACGTCGGCTCCCTCGGCCAGTAAAGCGAGATGAGCGCTGTAACCCCAGAGTCAGTCACAACTGGACCTAATGGTCAGGGGTCCCTTTACCTTTAAATATCACAATATCAATATTGTGATATATATCTGTGGCAGCGGAGGGCCTTGCTGAGTCTCCCAGCGGCAACATATGGTCCCGCCATACCTCCCTGCAGCAGTGGAGGGTGTGCTGCGCTTCCCCGCAGCAGCCGAGGACCTTGATGAGGCTCCCTGCGGCAATGGAAGGCCTTAAAATGCAAGGAAGTAGTAGATTTAATAAAAACTTTAAATAAACTTCCATATAATATATTTACAACTAATTTTAAGAGTAGTTTAAGTGATTTACTAGTCGCTGGTATATTGCCTTATTGAAACACTTATCATGATGTTATTTCAGTACGTACCGGTATTCAATGATATGGCGATTTATCACACAGCCCTACTGTCTGCTGGATAAAAACAAAGGTCCTAAGCTGTGAAGGCTGATTAAAGAAATGCCTTCAAACCATTAAGGCTGTTCAAAGATGTTAGCTTAAAAACTGACCGTGATAGATAGGTGGCACTGTCTGATCAACATGACACACCTGGCTGCACTGCCTAATAATTAAATATGGTATTTCTTTTCATTACAACTGGAGTTTATTTTCAGAAGCTGCCCTTGGTTCATGGTAGGACTATACTTACTTGAATGTTCTTGTGCAGCACAGTGAAAACTGCAGAATATAGATTGCAGCATGCAAGGTGCTGAAATGATGGCAGGGTAGCTCAACTTCTTTTGCTGATATGAAAGTGGGTCAGCACAAGGGGGAGAGTGAGGAATAATGAAGATTCGGGTGCAGACAGACTCTCATCATTAGGTCACAATACATATACGTTCTGTACTTTTTAGAGCACTTAAAAAAAAATGTCACTAAGACTCATGGCACTCAAAAGTCAGGGTCTGTCCAAGTAGATACAGGCTGTTGCTATGGGAGACCCAAGTGCCTTCCTCTCTTCCCCAGTCATATGTATTTTAAGAATAAGGAAAACATGCAGAAGATACAAGACTTCAAGTTACATAAACAATAAAGTTTTGGAAGAACTGGGCATGGAGGAAGAGGTTAATAATAATAATAATAATAATAATAAATTAATTTATTCTTTATACCCTGCCCATCTGGCTAGGTTTCCCCAGCCACTCTGGGTGGCTTCCAACCGAATATTAAAAACAATACAGCATCAAACATTAAAAACTTCCCTAAACAGGGCCGCCTTCAGTTGTCTTTTAAAAGTAAAATAGTTTTTTATTGCTTTGACATCTTCTGGGAGGGCGTTCCACAGGGCAGGTGCCACTACCAAGAAGGCCCTCTGTCTCCTTCTCACAGCTAGAAGGCCCTTGGAGATGGACCTCAGTGTCTGGGCTGGATGATGGGGTTGGAGACGCTCCTTCAGGTATACAGGACAGAGGCTGTTCATGAGCGCAAATCACCCCATGTATGAGAGGCAGTAATGGCCACCAACTTGGATGGCTTTTAAAAAAGGATTAGACCAATTACTTGAGGGTAATTCTGTCAATGACTACAAGCCATGATAGAGGCTATGCTCTGCCTCCAGGGACCTTGAAGGTGGTATGCTTTTGTATTCCAGTTGCTGAGAACTTCAGGAGGGGAGATTGCTCTTTTGCTTCTGTCCTGCTTGTGGGTTGGTCAACGTGAGCACAGGATGCTGGACTAGATGAGCCAGTTTGAACCACCCCCTCAGTCCTGCTATATACCTTTAAAAGCCACCTATGCTGTTGCATTAATGTTGTTGCTTTTAGTTGACCCTGCATGTGTTTCTGTGTCTATTGAGGCAGGGCAGGTCTGTCTTAGGTCTTTCAGGATTGCAATCCCTTTCCTCGTGTTTATTTTCAAAGTTTCTCTGTGTTGTTAAGGCTAAGGGCAGATTTCCATAACTCCAAAACAGCCTTGAGCGCGTTGTAAACTTGCAGCATTTTATACTTGCTAGCTTGGTAAGCTGGTTGTCTGCTTATGGCTACACAGTGGCTTATGGCCACTGGCATGACCAGTTTTCCAAATGACCAAATGTAACGTGGCTTTAGCATATTTGTGTCCTTTTCTTCCTCCAGTGGCCGTGCACATGGCGCTTTATCTCAGAATTGCCATGTGCTCAGTGCTGCTCCTGGGTCATATAGCCTAAAGGGCAAAAACTGTTCCATTTCTTTGCCCTATAGAATGTGGTTCTTTCAGGAGGATCCACGATGTTCAGGGATTTTGGGCGCCGGCTGCAGAGAGACTTGAAGAGGGTCGTAGATGCTCGACTGAAAACCAGCGAAGAGCTCAGTGGTGGTCGGATAAAGGTAAACGGGTTTTACTGTCTATTAAATGCCTGAACGAGCAAAGCAAGTGCACATGTAGCTCTGTTAATGAGGCCTTTAAATCAGATGACATTTTTACTAGTGTACTAAAAGCATCTAGTGAAGCCAAAGCCCAGACCTGAGATGCTGCAGCAAAGGGGAGATGGCTTTAACTGGCTCTAGCACTTGAGGAGGTGATGTGATGAGCACTGCTTCTGACTGCTTCTGGATTTTTCCCAATCCAAAGGAATCGCAACATTCAGAAGGCCTCTAGAATTTTCTTTCTTTCCTTTCCTTTATAGGAAACATTATTATTGTTTGAACAACAAAAACAGTACAATAACATGATAAATACAATAATACAAAGAAATACAAAAATAGTCCCCATATCCAATAACTAATAGTCCACTTATCCTCACGGGTCTTTCCACAGTGTGCCATGAGTGACCAAAATAATTGCTGTATTTGAAGAATTTCAAGCCTGCTGCAAAAAGTCACACCAATTACCTGTAAAGTCATCCTCCTTAATGTTTGCACTTTGTTAATTTCTCTAAGAAATCAACATGCCTCATATAACTATGCCATTCCATTATACTTCCTCCCTTATACCACCAATTATTCGCCATCACCAGGATAAACATAAATATTTTTTTATATAGAGGCTCTTGTTTCTGACCATCATATACATTCAGCAGCGCCAGATACAGCTTTGCTTCTTTGTTTCACCCCCAAGCATTTTAGCTCATTCCTCCAATATCTGTTCTCTAGAGTTTCCTTTTTGCCACAACTGCAAGGTGTTGCTGGTTCATAACTGAACTAGGTCTCTTCAGCAGTTGGAGGTGCTGTTGTGAACATTTAGACCTGCAAAATGGAGCCACTGCCCTCAGTATAGAAATGATAGAAGCAGGGATACTTCTGCATTTCCTTGTCCATTCCCCTCTGGATTGTAGACGACAATGCTGTGATCTAGCATCCTTTTGCAAGAAGGTGGGATGCGTGGGATGGGAGCTGAGAATGTGTTTTGAGGTGCTTGGATCTGGCATGTGCCAACTATACAAGATAGGAGGTAGAAGCTGTTTGAAGCAGTGGGGACTTGGAACAGCGTGTGGGACCCAGACAGGGCAAGCTGCATGAATGCTGGATAAGAAATCTGTACCAGCCTCAGTACATCTGTTTGTCTCTGCATAGCTGGACATTCAGAATTCTCCTTCCCTTCTCTCATAGCAACCATCTGGGATTAAGGTACAGTTGCTGCTCTGACCAGGTTCAGATAATCAAGGTCATGCTGTGTTTTGATGATATACTGAACTGCTGGTTGTGTTTGCTTTTTCAGCCCAAACCTGTTGAAGTTCAAGTGATAAGCCACCATATGCAGCGCTATGCAGTCTGGTTCGGAGGATCAATGCTTGCATCAACAGTATGTCTCTTATGAAAACACTTTGTTATAGAATAACATTACTGGAAAATAATTGGAGGCCATCTCCTCCAATCCCATGCACGGTGGCATAATTCTTCTTAGATAAAGGAGAATTATTAAAAGATTAACTTTCGTTTAGTGTTCTTTCCATTGCTGGATTTTTATTTTTATTTTGCATTATCGCATGGAGTTCTTCTGTCTTCTGTTTCAGGGGTAGCCAACATGGTTTCCTCCAGATGTTGTTTGACTTCAAGTCCCATCAGCTCTAGCCAGCATGACCAATAGTCAAGGGTTGTGGGAGTTTTACTCCAAAAATGTCGGGAGGGCACCACTTTTTATTTTCTGTTTTGTTCAAGTTTGCAGGACAGATCTGAAATTTTACATTCATATTTACTCATTATGGCATAATTTGTGGCGAATTGACCTCTCCTGAATTGTATTGTATTATTAAGTAATGTTCGGGACACAGGTGGCGCTGTGGGTTAAACCACAGAGCCTAGGGCTTGCCGATCAGAAGGTCGGCGGTTCGAATCCCCGCGACGGGGTGAGCTCCCGTTGCTTTGTCGTATGCTTTGTTATTAATCTTGGTTTGTTTGCTTCTCCATATGCAGCTCCTTTTCTCTGTTTGTTTTCTCAGTCAGAGTTCTTTGAAGTATGCCACACCAAGAAAGATTATGAGGAATACGGTCCTGGTATTTGCCGCCACAATCCTGTCTTTGGAGTTATGTCTTAATTCTCGTCGTGTGGCGGTGCCTGCTCTTGTGTCTAATGGAGATCCTTTTGCTGGCGAGTAGAAGAAAGCACTTTGTGTAAATATCAGAACACAAGTGTGGATGTTCACTTGCCTTGGGGATGAAGACTTCAGTCCTACCGTGTGCAGTGGAATCATGCATTGCAATGAAATGGACAACCCAGAACCTTTTGAGCAAAAGTCACACGTATGCTGACAATTTGAGACTCTCCTCAGCATTAGCTTCTAGACGTACAGGGCAGCTCCTGTTTGGAAGATGGTGGAAACAGGAATTGCAGGGATAAACAGAGGCCAATAAAAAAACAACGCCAAAATTGCTGTAAAACTTCTGGAACAGGGAAGAGTGCTCAACAGTTTCCTGCATTGATCTCAGCCCTGCAGCCCAATATGCAAGGAGGAGATTTTATGCTTGAAAATTACCCCTTCGATTTCAGTGGGTCCTGTTGAGACTTCATGGTCTTCCCTAAACAGATGAGATTGTAAAATGGGGCCTTAGTTTGTAGAAAAATTAAAAGTACTGTAACCTTGCAATACAAATGTTTTATTTTGGAGAATTTTGTATTTTACGACAATTATCGGGTGGGTTTTCTGAGTGAGCACAAAGAACTAGCGATGCATGAGGATTGTGGGAGCGATGCCGCTTTCTGGTTGAGCAAGAAGGCTGGTTGCCTTGGTGAAGCAAGAAGACAACCCAGTGGGGCTCTCTCTGAGTATGTAAGTGTGTTTTTGAAAATGGTACTGCTTTTTATGTGAGTGAGATGAATTTTTAAGCCTCTGAAAGTAATGTATGATATTAATTCCTGCTATTTATTGAATTCGTGTTTTCTTTTTTTTAATTTGGGGACTAGTGAGTAGTAGTTGGCTACTGATCAAATAAAAGCTGTGAACATGTTCACACAGATAACTGTTCTCGTGGTTAAATTGCTTCCTGTTGAAGGTTCCGTTTCTGGGAAATTCCACGTTTGCTCAAGAATGGGCTAGTTTGTCCCCTATACGTTTGGGAAAGAGCATGCCCGGGGGTCACAGATATAAGCTTTATGACTATAAATAGATCAGTCCTACTGATAATCTCTCGTGTACCAACAGTAGCAGTAGAAGAATGTAGAAGATTTGGTTTGTTGGTGCTGCTATATTAAAGTAAATACATAACCTCAGGTTGGCACTTTGACATAGTGGGTTGTAAGCAGTAGCGGAAAGCATATTCCACTCATGCAAGGAGCCCCCCCCCACTATTTTTGCTGTTCCCTCCTACCCACTTAATTGCCACACCCAAAACCTTGATGCTGAGGGTTAGGGGACCCTCTAGAATAGTTCTGCATATGGCAAAAAGGTCTGCAGTAGGTACAGGGATCAGGGAAAATTGGGATGCGTGGGCAGAAGGAACCACTGAGTGCAAATGACTGTAAATAAGCCTGCTCTCCCCACTGCCTTTTATTGTATATTTATGCACAAATGTGGGAATTATGCGAAAGGTGGTAAACCTCCAGAGCTCCTCCTTGGGTCTTTCTCTGGTCATATGCAAGAAACAGTGAAATAATACTTGTATAATTCCCATAACAAATGTTTTCTTCATAAAACATTTGTTATGGGAATTATATGGGACATTCAGTGACAACCATAAGAATTCAGGAAAAGTTATGAAATCCAAGTTGTTGGAGCTTTGATATCCTGTCCTATGTTAGAAGAGATTACCTGCATTTGCCGGTCAAATCTCAGGTGAATTGGTGTCCTTGGTTAACACATCCAACGCATATATTCTTGATGAGATCCTGACTTCATTGCACTTAGTTCCCATGGAAATCAATGTAGAAAGTTGCATTGATTTCAGTAGGCACCAAGTGCAACCAACACGGTCAGGATCTAACCCATTGTGTCTAACGTACAATCCTAAAGAATGCAAACTCCCGAACACCAAATAGTTTATTGTCAACAAATTTGAGCTGGATTTTTTTTTTAAATGTTAATTAGAGGTGGTTGGCTTTCCATCCCACCAGCCTATCCATTGGATTGTCTCACTCGTAAATGTCTTGGGTTTCCTTGTTATAAATCTGAAGAACATTGTGCATATGTCTCGCCATGGAACTTTCAATTAAATACAATTAGCAAAGCCTTGACGTGACTTGAAGTGCTGATCTTCCTGTAAATAATTCATTCTTTATGATCATGCTGTTCTCTCTCATCTGGAAAAAAACCACAGTTCTGCCAAACGAGTGTCTGAAGATGCCAGAGCGAAAAGCTTACTCAAAACCACTAGGGAAAGGGATGGAAGCAGGAATGTATAATCTTCTGCTTAATTGAAAAGCATTACATAATGTCGGAGTTGCTGTGAAATGAAGTAATACAGTCTGGTACGCCTGTGACCAGTGATGTCGATTTTTCTTTTTGAACGGAATTTGTTTGAACGCATTTTTGTTAAGGGCTTCGTGGAAGGGCAAGGGAAGGCAAGAGGAGTTTTGTGGGAGCAAAGCGAAGCAGTCAAAAACTTCAAAAAACATTTTGATACTCTTGTAGCACAGTTTGGGAAAGGTAGACTGCATAAAAACAACAATCTGCATGTACTTTTGATTGAAAATATATTTTCAATTGGTAGTAAAAGCTTGACACCAAACTGGAAAGAAGTAATCAACAATAGTCTGGTCAAGGTGGAGTTCTTAAGTACCGGTATCTTCATTAGTGAGCCTGCTGTAAAGGTAAAGGTAAAGGTACCCCTGCCCGTACGGGCCAGTTGTGTCCGACTGGGGTTGCGCGCCCATCTCGCTTAAGAGGCCGGGGGCCAGCGCTGTCCGAAGACACTCCCGGGTCACGTGGCCAGCGTGACAAGCTGCATCTGGCGAGCCAGCGCAGCACACGGAAACGCCGTTTACCTTCCCGCTAGTAAGCGGTCCCTATTTATCTACTTGCACCCGGGAGTGCTTTCGAACTGCTAGGTTGGCAGGCGCTGGGACCGAACAACGGAAGCGCACCCCGCCGCGGGGATTCGAACCGCCGACCATGCAATCGGCAAGTCCTAGGCGCTGAGGTTTTACCCACAGCGCCACCCGCGTCCCGAGCCTCCTGAGGGGAGGGGATATAACACTTAGCAAATTAGCTGGTGACACAAAACTGAGGAAGACTGCAAACATTTTAGAGGATAGCCTAAAATAATCTCCAGTAGAATGCCTAAAAAAGCACAACTGTGAAAAAAGAACCAAATGAAAAATACAGGATGTGGAGATAACAGGCAAGGAAGAGTCATTCTAAAAGGATGCTAGGTGTATGACACAAAGACCAGCACTGTTTTTCAGTTGTATTAACACTGTAGCATTACTGCCAAGCTAGAAAGTAGTATCATTTAGCACAGCTTCAAAATCCAGAAATCAGTACTGTACTCTGATTTTTTTTCTAGATTTCAAGTTTGTGCAAACTTGCAGTTCTGCTCTTCAGTACTTAAAGCAAGGTGGAATCCACACACACATAAAAACCATTCTGAAAATGCTTTTTCAATATATTTTTTAAAAATACATTGAATTTTCCATAAGGCTCCCCATCGCCATTTAGTGTCACATTTTATATTGCACTTAAAACACACTTAAAACATTTTATTTGTAGCTGCATAGCTGAGTCCCATGAGTGTAACCGAATTGCAGTAATATATATATATATCACGGTTTATTTTCCCCTCCATAAAAGGTGTATTTCTGTGGAAATTGCTTGTGGAGTCTATTGTGACCGGATGGGGAATTGGCAGGAATCTGAAGAGAGCATAGAAGTTGCCCTGCAGTCTCTATTTCAGTCAGCATTTATGGGAAATCACCTAAAGATACCTGGACAATCATAAGGCAAAATGTATGAAGGTGTGCTGGGCTTTAAGTATCCATTGGGAATATCCTCCCTTTTCTGCCTCAGAAGGATAATAAAGATAGACACTGAAATACTATACACATACTGTTTGTGCTCCAGTTGTCATCTTTTGCTTTTGAATATATATGTGCTCCCCTGTTGGGCCAGACAAAGCCCAGTAGCCCAGTACAGTGGTACCTCGGGTTACAGATGCTTCAGATTACAGACTCCACTAACCCAGAAATAGTACCTCAGGTTAAGAACTTTGCTTCAGGATGAGAACAGAAATCACATGGTGGCTAAAGTGGTACCTCAGGTAAAGAACAGTTTCAGGTAATAACAATAATAATAATAATAATAATAATAATAATAATAATAATAATAATAAAATATTTATTATTTATACCCCGCCCATCTGGCTGGGTTTTCCCAGCCACTCTGGGTGCCTTCCAACAAAATATTAAAATACAACGGACCTCCAGAACGAATTAAGTTCTTAACCAGAGGTACCACTGTATTCTCTTTCCAGCTACAGTCAGACAAAATGCCTCTTCGTACCCATACAAATAGGGTATGAAGGCAAAAGCCCTTCTCCATGGTATGCCCCCAGCTTCTCTTATACAGAGTTATGGTGCCTCTGGCTATGGAAGCCCCATTCCAATGCAGTACCACGCTAGCCATACCTGCAGAAATAACAATATTACAAGAGGGGGAACGCGTCCATTTCCAGCGCGAGCTTTGCACTAGCACAAAGCATGTCCCACCCACTGCAGCTTCCCATGCCCACCACCCAAAAACTCCTATGGAGCTTTGGGGACCATTTGGGCTATTGCACAAAGGGCTGCAGCATGTAAGCGGGGATCGGAGAAAGATAATCTTGCCATGCAAACTCCTATCGATAGCAATGGGAGGGGGGATTCCACTCCCCCCCTTTAAAAAAGTGAATAAAACTTTATTTAGAATTCAACAATAACAGAGAGAGAGAAAAAAACCACGGTGGTTGCTACATCAGATCATGACAGTCAACCAGTTTAAACATTTTATAGATACTACTAAAGAAATTACATAGCATCACTTTTAATTTACTAAGGTTTTCATACTACACTTTTATCTCTTTATCTTTTTCATAGCATATCGAAAACAGAAAGACCAAGAAAGGAAACACAAAAAGAAAGAAAGAAAAGGAAGAAGAAGGGGGGGGGGTGGAGGTAAGGGAAAACAGAAAAAGGGAGGGGGAAAGAGAGAAAAAGAAAAAAATAAAGCAAAACAAACATATTTGACTTTTGATTAGACTCATTATATTATTATTTCTACAGTTTTTTCACACACAGTTCCAAATTATTGTATTCCTTTCTTTGTTTTCATCATATGTCCAGAAAAACATATGGCAGCTACAGAGGAGCAATTTTAATCAGGACTGTATCAGGGAGGAAAGGGTTAACCCCCGATAATTGTTGACTGCCATCCTCAGTGGTTGCTGTTTGCAATTTATAAAAAGAGACCAGCAGCACCCATGTTATAGGCAAATACACATTTTGTCTAGTTTGGCTGTCATACCTTCTTTTTATCAGGCAACTACTTGCCTTTGCTGCCGGCTCCGCTTGGTGCCTTGGACTATGCTGAGACCCCTCCACCCCCATTTATCCTGTGGTATCGCCCGCAACACATCAAATGCTAGTGGCAATTAAAGGATTAGGGACAGGCTATAATTACAGCCCTGTGGAATAAGTTCTTAAATGGGTTTGGTGCTGCCTATACTGTAATTATTCTGCCCGTGCCCTGATGAGCTAGGATTAATTGTGTGGGGCTTGCAAATGGTTCACATTGAACACGCAGTTCACCGCTAAGCAGTTTGCGTTTCAGTGGCGATAAGGAGGTGCCCTGTGCTTTTCCCCAAGAAAGGCGGCTTTTAATCAGAAGGACATTAGGTTGACCCTGGCTGCCCACAGTGCCGAACTGCCTCTCATCACAGCAGAGTCAGATTCAAATCATAATACGTTATAAAAGTATGACCTACTAAAGCTGTCTTTAAAAAAATATTCCGTGCTTTGATCTTTTAAAGGCTTCTTAAGAATGCATCAACATTGATACTAGTCATTAGGCTAATTACAATATTTTGACTGGTCTTTTGCCAGTCAAACTGAACATAGAGGAAGCTGCCTTCTCAGACCATTGGGCTGTCTGACAGAATACAATGGTCTGCTTTGAATAGCAGCTAACTCTCCAGAGAAATGAATTTTGTTAACCCAATACACTTCTTAAAAAAGGCCTTTTACAGGCGGTTTCTCTTTTTAACTTGGGATTGTATGCCTCAAGCACATATGTTCCATGACTGAGCTGTGCCTTCTCATTGGAGGCTTTAGAGGAGAGGTTTGGAGGGTTTTTGTATGTGTCTTACTATCCACATCGGTCCAGCACCATCTGTTCTGACAATGCATGGACAGGGAGCTCCAGGTGGAAGAGAGGGGCTGCCTCACCTCCGCTGAATTTCCCTGCTAAAAGGTGTTATAATGGAGCCAGCAGTGTCATTACTGTCTCAATGGTGCAGGGAACTTCCATTATGAACAGCTGCTTAAGGTTGTGTAGCGCTGCTGGGTTTCTGTTAGTTGACTGGTGTGGAGCAGTTAAAGAGTTCTGTTAAAAATAAAGGTAGATCCTACATCCCTGTCCAGATTTCAGAGTACATATGGTACCTATTCATTCACCGAATGAATGAATGAATTAATGTCAACTTAAGCTCCAGACACAGGTCTGCTATGAGATATTTTACAGTAGCTACAAACAGGCAGTGATATGATAAAACAGGTGAAAACTTTTAATGGCAGTTTTTTAAAAAAAAAATCCTTAGATTTTGTATGTGTGCAATAAGTGTGTGATGGATTTAATGGGTAGGAGAGGATATATTAATTGCAATTTATCCTTCCAGATGCCCACATGTGTGGGTAGAATAAAGTTTCAAAATCCCATCCTTGGCAGCAAAAGTTAAAGCATAGGAATTAGACTTGTTTTGAGCAAGTCCAGCTCTGTAGTAAACTGGCTCTCCCTTTCATATTCTGCTTGGCAACAGCTTGGGAAGTAAGCTTAAAAATATAATTTACTTATTATCTTGCACTGGTTCATAGCAATGGCAGCAGCAAAAACCATGCAGGCAACACACATTTACAGTATAACCAGCTTCAAGCTGGAGCAAGTGGAGGCAGGTCTGTATCCAACCCTGGTCACAGGAAGGGAAAGAGAGGAACACACCATATGCTTCTTCCTCTCCAGGAAGAGAAGGGGAAATGACAT